GCTGAAGAATCTGCTTCATTGGACGCAGATAGACTGACAAAAAATTGAGAAAGGTCTGTGTTACTTAAGGGGAAATGTCTAGTGACCCGAACAGAAAACTAAGCATAAATGTCCATCCTTCTTAGCACTATAAAAATTATGGCCAGAGCAAAAGCTCATTTACAGTTGGACCATACTATGATGCTGAATGTACTGCTAGCTCTGGATAGTTTAAAGGATTGAGGAATCGTTATTCATTATACATCACATGGTGAGCAGTGACTTTGAGTGCTAATATGAAGGCAGCTGATGAATTTTTGGAAACTCTACATAAACTGATTGTGGAGGAAAATTTGCCAGAGAAATAGGCTCTCCACATAGCTTAGATGTATGGTAGGCCATATCATCTTGGTTTGTGTAATTACATTATATGATGTTTACACAATGACAGAACAACTTAAGTACATGTTTCTCATATGTACCCCTGTTGTTAAGCAATGCATGACTAAAGTAATTTTGTTTTAGTACTGTGAGGGACTTTCTGTTTAAGGCATATATATTTCTAATTGTTAAAATTTTCCAGAAGAATTGGTCTTTTAATCATTATGAAATATCTTTTGTTTCTAGTATTATTTCTAATCTGAAATCTATTGTCAGATAGCGATGTAGGTAAACTAGTGCCTTGTAATTGATGTTTGTATGGTACATCTTTTCCCTCTTTTGACTTTCAGCCTATTTATGTCTTTGAATTACAATATATCTCATGCAGATATTGTATATCTGTACCTTGCTTTTTAAATCCAGTCTGATAATTTCTGCCTTTATGTTTCTTCCTCCTTATTGAATGTAGCCATTGATATATTTGGATTTACATCTTCCATTTTACTGTTTATTTTCTGTCTGCCCCTTAGTTGCTGTTGTTTTTTGTTTTTTGTTTGGTTTTGTTTTTTGGTACCAGGGATTGAACTCAAGCCCTTGTGCTTGCAAGGCAGGTGCCAGAACCACTGAGGTAAATTCCCGGCCCCTGCCCCTTAATTTTTGTTCTTATTGTTCTTCTCTTTTTTTGTCTTTTTTATATAACAAGCTATGCCATTTGAATTCCTCTGATATTTTAAAATAAACTTACTTGGAAACAGCCCATTTGCCCATCAGTTGGAGACTGGATAAAGAAGATGTGGTTTTTCTATAAAATGGAATACTACTCAGCCATAAAGAATGAGAAATTAGATTCATTCCTAGGAAAATGAATACATATTGAGGATATACTCCTAAGTGAAATAAATAAGTCACACGTGTAAATACTGAATAGTTTCTCTTGTGTGAAAAACTGTAATAGTACATAAGATCCTAATTGACAATGTGAAATGGGAAGAAAAGGGCTAAAGGTGTAGGGAAAATGGGAAGGGTAGGGGAAAGGTAATAAGGGAAAAATATATGAGAAAATTAAAAAATGGAAATAAAGTGTTTGTAAATGGGGAGGATAGGAGGAGGTGAAGGGAGGGCAGGGACAAGGGGAAAAAATGAGAACCAAGACCTGTCATGTAAAGGTACAAGATCCCAATGATGAGTGTAACTGTACTGTATACCTAAAATGTACCAATAAACTCAATGAGAGAAAATAAAATAAAATAAACTTTAAAAATATTTTTTTCTTTCTACATGTCTTGCGAGTTATACCCTGTAGTATTCTATCTTATCACAATCTATTTCAAGATAGTACTAGCTTAATTCTGGTCAAAATGAAATGAAAGTATAACTTAATTTCTTCTCTATATCTGTTATTGTTTTCACACATACAACATCTATAGATGTGTATAAACACATATCCAGTGAGAGTGGGGCTCTGAGTTTTCTCTAGGAATGCTCTATTTCACCTGTTTTTGGAGGATGGCTTTCCTGAATAGAGTTGTTAGTTATTTCACTGCTTTCTTGTCTCTTATTTCAAATTAAAAGTCATCATTTAATCAGATTGGTTTTCTTCTTCACATGATCATCCATTTTTCTCTGTGTTTTTAAGATTTTCTCTTTATCTTTTAACAATTTAGATATAATTTGTCTAGACATGGATCTCTTAGTTGGTATTAGTTCAACATCTTGGTTCTATCAGTTATTGTTTTTCTTCAAATTGGAACATTTTCAATCATTATTTCTTCAGATATATTTCAATACCCTTTATCTTTATACTCCCCTAATTTCTATTCGATGTATGTTGGTACCCCTGATGTTCTAAAAGTTTCTAAGGCTGTGTCCATTTTTTTCTTTGTGTTCTTCATAATGGATTATTTTACTGATGTCTTTAAGTTCACTGATTTCATCTGTTGCCTTCTCACATCTGCCATTTGGGCAGTTTTAAATTTTTTAAATCTATAATTTTTTGAAAAGTATCTCTTCCTGTACTGAAATTCTCTATTTGTTGTATTGACATATTTTACCATCATCTTTTCCTTTCTTAAGTACAATTTCTGCTTAATTTTTTTTTTGCTTAATTCTTTTTTTTTGTTTTTTGTTTTTGATACCAGGGATCAAACTCAGGTCCTTCCGCTTGTGAGGCAGGCAGCAGAACCACTGAGCTAAATACCCTGGCCCCCTGGTTAATTCTTTTTGCCTATGTGTTAATACCTATTGTGAAGTGTTTGCCTGCTAACTCCTAATCTGAGCCCATTCAGGGACATTTTCTCTTGACTCCTTTTTCTCCTCCTTATGGATCACACAAGTTTTTGACAAAAATGAACTCCTTATTCAGGCAATGTGGTATGTGTCTGTAGTCCTGGCTGTTCAGAAAGATTGTAAATTCAAGGTCATCCTGGACAATTAGTGAGATTCTGTCCCAAAATTAAAAATTAAAAAGGACTAGGGGTGTATCTCATGTAGAGTCCCTCAGTTCAATCCCAACTACTATAAAAAAGGAACTGTTTGAAATAATGTATGTGTAGTAGCCTTGGGTTCTGATTTCTTTTTTCTCCTTTGAAGGCTTATTTTATTATCTTTTATTTTGTTTTAGTAACTTGATCTTAATCTGTAGAATCCATATCCTTTATGAATGTGACTGCTGATTTCTTTGTGTTTTTTTCTGTGTTTGTTTTCCTTATTATAAGTTTTATTTTTTAACCTGGCTTCCTTGTGTCTCCAAAGTTTAATTATTATATAATGAGCACTAGAGGTTATGCTCAAACAGTTTGAGCAAGATCAGGGAGCACAGTTTGTTTTCAGATAGTTTTCAGGTCTGTACTGGCTTTTGCACTGGGCCCTGTTTTAGTTACTTTTCTTATTGCTGAGACAAAATTCCCAACCCAGAGTTAAAGGAGGAAAGGTTTATTCTGGCTCAGAGTTTGTAGTTTTCAATCTTGCATTGGCTGGCTCCAAGGCAGAGGAGGACTGCAAAGGAGAAACAATTAATGGCAAGGAGAGGGCAGCAGCAGAAGCAATCAGCAAGTGACAATCCCCTTTTCTGTCCCTTATATTTTATCCAGGGTGGGGCACCCTTAATCCTAGCATCACACCATGGATAAATTCCAGCATCACATGCTCAATCCAAGGATCACACACTCTAGATCCACCTCGGAAAAGCTCCCCCTGTGACCACCACATGAGACTTTGGGAGGACATCTTAGTCACAAGCCATAACAGGCCCTTGTGAGTCTACTGTATGTATGTTGTAGTATTCTAGTCAGCCATATGTATTGGAGTTTATCTAGTCCCTCTCTGACTCTTATTTCCATTTTTCCTGTTAAATTTCTTGGTAGACCTCCAAGTCCACTGCTAACCACTATCAGGTCCACAACCTTCTCCTTGTAGAGCTGGCACCTTCCCCACTAAGTCCTCAAGTTTTATTTTTTTTATTAACAAGTGTGGAGTTCTTGGTCTTTAGTGCAAATCAAGTCAGCTTCCTCCAAGAGTAAAGCTGTTGCTTCTCACGATCTGCTGTACTCTGGTAGAAGCACTGTATTGCCTGCACTGTGAAGAAATGCGGGTAGCCTCAGGCAAGAATGTCACAGAATTCCAGTGTTCTCACACCAAGTTCAGCAGTTTCTCAGTATTTTTCTGTGATTGCTTATCAAAGCAATGAAATCTTGTTTTTGAAAATTTTGTCCAGTTGCATAGTTGTTTCTTGCGAAATTTCCTAACTTATTCCCTGTCACCAGAAGTCCTGTCACACCTGGCAACTTCTAAAATGGCAAATTCACTTGCTGAAGTTTTATCTAATAAGGGATCCTTCTCTAGCACTTTTGTACCATTTTGGTGGAAATTGTGGGTCTCTGCAATTAGAACATACTATGCAGTCTTCCTGCCTTGCTATATAATCTATGATTTTAATTCTATTTAATGTGAGGCAATTTACATTTAAATAATTGTCAGTAACTTGTTTGTGTATTGTCTTCTTTTGAATACCCCACGTGTGCCATCTAATGCTCTTTATAATGATGAATTTAATGGCAGTTTATTAATTAGTTATTCCATGATTCTCCTTTGCAAATGCAGATGTACATAGAGTACATTTGATTTTGTATCTTCAGTAACAGAATGTTTAAATGGTTAACATTTGTGCTGCAGTATAGCGTTCTGGCTCATGAAAAATGAAAGCTATCAGCGATCTGGGCAATAAGATTCATCGCCAATAGTCACTAGCAACAGCACACAGAATTTTAATATCAGTGAGGTCCACGGCTAGCAGTAAGAGCTGCTGTAATTGAAAGACGTTTAGGTGCAATCATTCTGCTGTTTGTTCCTTGCCAGATTCAACATGGGATTGTGTGAGTATTTGAAGAAAACACCAGTGTTTTCATATCTTTGAAAGATGTAAAAAGGGTAGATTCATGCTTAAATTTAAAGAATGTAGTAATTTTAAAATCATGTGGCTCTAAAATAAAAAGATATTTTATGTTTGGGTTGATTAAAGCTTTAGAAAAGCTACTCCTTGGTTACAAGTGAACCGATAATTCTGGTCTAATGTTGCCGTGGTAACAACTCATGCTGATATAATTGAGAACATCTTATACATGCTGGCTCGAACATTTTCTCCCTGCCATTTTGAGTTGCTCCAGAGGTATATGAAGGAGGCTAGGCTAACTAGCTTGTAAGCAATTAAATCTAGTAATATACATCTTCGGCATTAATCCGGTGTTAGCTAGTAATAGCTCATGCTGGGCAGTTAGCTTTGCTTCTAGGGGTTTTTCCTGTTAAAACAAAAGAAAGCTCTTTTCATTTTCTGTGTGCTGCATGTTCCAGTATATGTGTTTACACCATCGGTTCTGCTACCTCTAGAGATTAGCATAACTCCCTTTGCTCTTCAATTGTTGTTTTCAGCAATATGTTTTGGAAAGGTTGGTTTTCATCATGAGTGGTGAGTATGCTTTCTGAGACTTCTCAGCTGTACATTTAAAAAAATATTTAACTATAAGAGGAAAAATATTTTTTAAAAGACAGTTTTAAAGCCAGAGATACAGTGAATTACATTTTGTGTTGATGCTTTAGCATTAAGAATTGCAATTAGGCAAAACAGCTTCTAAAAGCCAGTAAGAACTGTAAACAATACAACTGTTAACAGGCAATACTAATGATCTGCTACTAATTTTCTTTATGGTTTAATTTATTGTATTCATTAGACAATGTTGTTACTAATTATATTATAAATTAATAAGAAGACTAACCATAATGAGAGATTGTTTTAGTATCTGATCCGGAGGATAATTACTTTTACTTTCCTTTGACTAGCTTTGTCATCTTACTAATTTTTTAGCTTCTTTATCACTATATTTTAAAAAATACCAATCTTGAGAAAAGATTATGATAAAATGTTCTTGTTGTCTTTTAATTATAATTCATTGAGAATTTGGGGTTTAGTGATGAAATAAACATGCATTTTAGTTTAGAAGCTTTCTCAATATTTTTAAGAAATAAGTTGTTTGGAAATAATTTAGAATAAGTAGATTTGTTATAACTACTTTCTTCTTTATTATGATAAATTTTATTTATTTAAATATGTCCAAAAGTATTTTTTTGAGAAAATATACTGTAGTATATACTGCAGCTTATCGTACAGCAAAAGCTGTTCACTTCAAGCCAAACCTACGGCTAAAAATAGATATCCTGTTGTTAGAGTGAGAAATGTTTGCTTAGAGCATAATTCATTAGCATATTTTTGCTTAATTAAAAAAGAGGCTATTTTTAAGCCTAACTTTGATGCAGTTGTCATTTTTAGGAAAAGCATTACATGGTTATCAGGTAATGCAACAGTTCTATAATTTATATTTAAAAGATTTGGGATTGGAATTCTGAATGTTAGATTTTTTCTGTATAATGATAAAATTCAAAATCAATGAACCTTTTTTTCCATAACTGAAGATCATCTCATTATCACCGATAAATATTCTTTATCTTGCTAAGTACGACATCAACCTCTTCAACACTGTTATATGTCTGTAAGGTGATATTAGATATGAAAGGGATATTTATATATGCAAAATATTAATAGGCGATTATCTTTTTATTCTCAAACTAGTTCTTTCTGACGTAGTTTTAAATTTGCACTGATATTACAAAATCAACATGTTAACATTCTTTAGGGTTTCTATGGATACCAAACCTGGTCATACCTGATTATCATACATTTATTTCTTTGAATCAGGAGACTTTTTCTCTTTGAAAGTTTAGTTTACAATGTAGAATCTTTAGGTAGCCACTGTGATATTCTGGAGGTTTTTTAATATGATGTGTCAGCTTTAGCTGAAGAAAATTGTTTCTGTTTCTCTATTGCTTTATGTTTCTTTCAAGAAAGCTATGGATGAGAGATAGTATTTTATATACTCCATGATATCATTGGCTTTTCCTTACTGCGTTTTTTTCTATTACAAGAACTGTAATAAATAAACATGATTTTTTTCAAGATTATTCAATTTCAACTAATTTCACTAACAAGTGATTAAAAGCCCTAGGTATTTCAAAATGTGGAAAATTATAAGTTAAGCATGGTTTTATTTAAAAGATAAGCAAATGTTTGATCTTTTACCTAACTCTATAATTCTGCATGTGTTATTTCTGTCTATATGGTACTTTTTTGTAGTTGTAATGCTATTTCTTACTCATTCCTGGTAATTAAATGTTCTTTTTTTTTTTTTTTTTCTGGAAATCTATCTTTGGCCTTCTATTGCTGTGTTCTTGGAATGATCTCATCCATGCCTACATCTTCAGTCATTACTTGAACATTCAATTCAATGTGAATTTTCTTTTGCCATCCCCAAGCTGTTCCTTTATTGATTCTGGTTTCTGTTATGATCTTAGTGCCCATGGAAGAAGTAGAAACAGAAATCTTATTTCTTACCCCTCAATATGCGCTTAGTCATCAGGTTCTGTTGATTCTACACCAGAAATGACTCAAAATCACTCGTTTTCTCCAGTCTCACAGACATTGGGAATGCTTTTAGCTCAGGCATTCTCTGGCTCTTTTAAAATCCTGTTATGATAATCTCCCTCACTATTCTACCAGCTTCCAGTTTGCTGTCATGAAAATTCTGAGAACCACCTGCTTTTCAATTCCTCCATTATTGCCTTGGTAGAATTAGGTGATTTCTCAAGGCAAACTTATAAATCATAACAATTATTGAATTATATTCAAATTGTATATTTATATCAAAGATTCTAACCTCTAAATTTTGAACTCCTCAACTCAAGAAAAGTATCTTGTTTAGTGGTTACCTCAACATCCAAAACATAGTAAGAAGCCCGTAAATACTTACATAGTATTTAGTCATTCATTTATTCTATATTTTTTATAAGTTTGAATTCTTCTCTTAGGTTATCAGTGAAAAAATAGCAGTTGTATCTTTTGGTTCAGAAAATACAATAATCATAGCATTTACTTAGTCTTCCTGCATCATTTTTATAGCATGAAGTACAATAAAAATGATTAAGAGACTAAATTGTACCCAAAAGACTTTATAAACGATCCTTTTCCTTCCTGTTCTAGATTTTTATTTTGTTACTAATAACCCTTTTTGTGAAGCTTTTGTTCCTGTTATGCAAGCATGTTTTGAAAAATGCTAAAGAGACTAATAATTAACTGAACTATCTTAAGACCCTTTTGATTAAAAGAAATAGCAACCTTCTCGAATTGGCTTTAACAGTCAAAGACACAGGTGGTAAAAAATGTAGTTCTCTCATGAAGATCAAAGGCCAATGGTAGACTTGAGCTTTATGAATCAGGGACTAGTTTGGGATTCTGAAAACTGCTGGTAATTAGAACAGCACTTTTCTCAGTTTTTCTCTGAGATCACATGACTTATTTTCTCTTGATACCTGCTTTAATATTTTCACTGCATTTAGAATAGATTTCTCTGTTGCTTGTACAAAATGGAGCCTAGTTATCTGACAGATTCAGTTTGTGTGCTTATCAACATAACTAGTACCACTATATCAAAATCCTAAGTAATAAGCAGTGAGGAGGGAAAGATGAGAAGGGTCACTCACCGGGTAATGTTACAGATACATAGAATTAAGTGCTAGTGTTCCACTGCATAGTAGTGTAACCATATTTAATTATCATATATTGAATTTTTTAAAAGATGAAAGGATTGTTCTCAATGCAAATAAATAAATGAGTGTACACTTGTTTACCCTATTGGAACATTACACAATGTGTCTGTGTATAGAAATATCATGATAACTCATAAATATGTAAAGTTTTTATTTATGAAGTAAAAGGAAATCCTAGGTAAGTACTCTGTCCCACTTATAATTGAGGGAAAATCTCTAAAGAAGGCACCGATTTACTGGTGAATACTAGGAACAGTACAGACTTGAGCACAGCATTTAACTTATTCCCTTTTCTAGATCTTGACTGAATGCAGTATAAGAACACAAAATTGGGGAAATTATGTATCAGTCCTGGAGCTAAGGAAGGTTATTTGTCCAGGAATGTACACAATCTGCTAGATGACCAGGCTCTAAATTCCAACAGTTTTACTTTAAGTAGCTTGTCTTCATGGAAAGAAATAATAATAGTTTCACCCTTGCTAACTTAAAGGGAGATGTATAAGAAAACTGTGGATAATATGTGGAAGACCAAAGTCTCACAACTGCTTTTATTCTTAAACACCCTATTGGAGTAATCAGGAGTTTATTAAGATATTATAAATTGAAAAAGTGGTCTTTCTTTTTCCACATGTGATAGGGCTGTATCTTGATGTGATAAGAATAGCCAACAACAAAGAATCCCAGAGTCCTGGCTACATTCCCATTCCAAAATCACTAGATTATTTAACTAATAATGTAAATATGTATAAGATCTGAGAAGTTGATACTAACAGCACCAAATTAGGAAGTGAGAGGGTCCAAAGAAAATCACCTACCTTAATTGGGAACATCTGTAATAATCTGAAAAAGTCTCATTGTTCCTGAATGAATAAAAAGAAAAACAACATCGTAGAGACTTTAATAAGAAGTTATTCCTCATTAAAGGATAAATTCACAGCTTTCAAGAGTAAGAAAATGAATTTATGTTCAAAAAATATTTGAAGAAGGGTCTAAACAAAAGGTTGCAGATAGTATCTAGATTAATTCTTTAAAATATCAGGCAAACAGAATCTGTAAAATAAAACATGGAAGATAAAAAATAAGATTGAAAGAATTGGTTGAGGATCAGGCAGGAATGAAAAAGAAACATGATGGGACAAAGAAAGATTATAAGAAAATAAACTTGGCACCTGCAAGATATAAAGTTGTACAGGCAATAAGGAGAATAATCATTTTTGGAAAGTAAATTAATGAGGTGAAGAACTGCCATGATAAGCTCTTCTAGAATGTACAGAAAAGCAGACAATATGAACATTACGAGGTTTAAAAATATGTTAGATGGACGTAGGACATCCTACAAATTGAATGAATAGCATTATAGCATTCCAATGCAGCATATATAATTAATGGAACAAAACAATAATAAAAAAGATGACTCAAGAAGGAAAGTTTTTTGATGCTGGGGATTGAACTCAGAACATCATCGCACATGGTCAGCACACAGCGAACGCCACACCTCTCGCACCAGACAAACTAAAAGAAAAACCTATTTATAAATCAAAGAGCTCATTGAGTTTTGACAAAATTAATGAAATAACACCTAAGTATATCCTGGAAACTTTTTTAAATTTCAGGGATAATGCTGCCATAAATATCTAGAGCTCTTTGTACCTTACAAACCAACATGAAGCTTGTCTCATAAAGAAAATGTCCAAAATCATAGACTAGAAATTTAAAAACCCTTCTAGGAAAAAAAGTACGGAAGATAAAACAGCACTGTGACATGCTGAATAAGCTATAAGGAGCATCTCCCTGAATGAATTTCTGAATTAAAGAATAAAAGAAATTCCTGTGGTGCAATAAAGGAAGTGGTAAAAGAAAACCAGCACTGTCTGGTTCAGCACATTTTGATACCCTGAAGAGATTTTTATACCTTACTGACGAAAGGGCTTTTGTTTTTTGAAGGTTGGGGATTTCTGTTTTTGTGCTTTTCTTTTCCGATCTTGGGGACTGAACACAGAGGCACTCCACCAATAAACTACATCTTCAGCTCCTCTTAATTTTTTTTTTTTTTTTTTTTTTTTTTTGAGACAGAGTCTTACTAAGTTTCCCAGGCTGGCCCTGAACTTATGAGCCTCCTGACTGAGCCTCCCAAGTAGCTGGAATTATAGGCCTATGCGTGACACCAGGCTGAAATTTTAGTTGTAACCATCCTCACAGAGACAGAAGTCAAGTTTTTGATCCATCCAGTTTAGAGTTTCTTGTGTGAAGAAAGTATCCTGCAAGCCTCAGAATTCAATGAAAGCATAGATTAGAAAGAACAAAGGGAAGCTGGTCTTTAGCTTGGGTTTCCCAAGCAGGAGAGAGTTGTATGTGCACGAGTGGAGGCTGCTCCTGGGAGTTTGCAATTAACTGCTTCTTCAGTTAGGTTTCGGATTTTAATCCATGTAATTGTGTGTCCTAGGATGCCCCAAGAAATACATCCTAGGAACAGTTCCAGGCTGTTAGCATGTGACACTATGCAAGCAGCAAGCAGAACTGAAAACAAAAGCCTACATGGGGTCATATCCTTAGTCAGACTCAAGTTCCTCTCAAATAAAGCCCTACTGGAATTTAAATTCGCAATCCAATAACAAAGCAGACAGGACAGGCACACATCTGCATATGCTATTCCAACACGGTGGGATTAGAGCCTCACCAAGATGTCAAATAGTAGAATTGTCACATGCACACTTCTAAATTAATGATGTGAAAAGAATAGGAAAATGTTATATACTTCTGAACCTAAAAAAATACTTAAAAAGGAAATTGGTCCATTTCAAAAGAGAAATTATAAAATGAGTTATAGAGACAATTTTTACCCAAGTAGAGAATACACAGAAATATATGAAATGGTTACAAAATTGCTTATATAACTAACCATTTTCAACAGATTACAAAGAATTGATATACAGGTCACTGTTTCTTGCCACAAGACAAGTTCAAAAATAAAAGGCTAATTAAAAAACTAACACAAATACATATATTTTAAGATATACAAAATCCAAATAACCCATCAAATCAGAATTAATTTACAATATAAATTTAAACTTCAACTATGTATTAAGGCATATGAGGTGTAGCCAAAGCAAATTTAGTGACAAATTTTCAAATGCTAAAATTAAGATGAGAGATTCATGATGTAAGTATCCAAGTAAACAAATTAGGAAAGTACAGCATGGATTATCATCAGAAAAAAGAAACTTATTTAACAAAGATCAGTGAAATACACAATAAAGAAACATAAGAACCAAAGGTTGATTCATGTAAAGCACTTTTGATAGGGCTGATTAGAACTATAAGAACTTAACAATTTTTAAGAAATTGAATCATATTTAAAATTTTGTTCAAAACTTGACAAAATTAGGACTGGATAATTTTGTAGTGAACTTCTAGGTAGCATTAAAAGAACAAAAATTTCAGTCTTGCACAAAATTTTCCAGAGAATTGTTTAAGAGGAAATATTCTCAAGTTCATTAATCAACTAATGAATTTAGTATAGTTTTATAATTACAGGAAAATAAATTTAGTTAGAAACATGTTCTCTCAAGTTTGGAATAGGAAAAACTGTCTACTCTCATCATTTCTCTGCATCATTGCACTTGTCAAAACTTGCCCCATAAGGCAAGAAAGAAAGGTGAGAACAAAACTGTCATTACTCACAGGTAATGTATGATTTTCTACACACAAAATTGTAGTGAATCTATCAATATGATTTTAGAATTGATAACTGGCAGGATTGCCGGGGATAAGATTAATAAGTAAGCATCAGCTATGATCTATACATTAGCAGCAAACAGAAAAGGTAATTTTAAAAATTACAGTATTATGGGCTGGAGATTTAGCTCAGTGGTTCCACTGCCTGCCTCACAAACACAAAGGCCCAAGTTTGATCCCCAGTACCCCCCCAAAAAAATTACAATATTATTTTACAATATTAACCAAAATGCCAACAAACCTAAATTAAATCTAGTAAAAGAGCAATAAATAAGTCTTTAAGAAAGAAATTAAAAATTTTTGAGAGCTATTTAAAAAGTATTTTTTTTTGTACTGGGAATCGAACTCAAGACCTTGTGCTTGCCAGGCAAAAAAACTATTTTAAAAGGAAGATGTATTTTCATGCCTATTAAAGTAGCAAGAACTAAAAAGTCTGACATTAACATTTTGTTGAGGACATGAAAGTTCGAAGATGTAGTGTGTCTATAAGTTGCTACAGTCATTTTTTTTAGTCATTTGTTACTAAGTTGATAATATCCATTCTTTATGCTCTAAGAATCCAGACCTACCTCTATACTATCCACCAACAAAACACAATATTTGAATTCAAAATTTTCTGGACAATCTTTGGCATATAATTTGGTAAATATATTATTCCTACAAGAAAAGTCTCAGTGAATAATTAAGGGAAAAAATACATTCCAAAGGGCATTTCAGAGATTGCCTGGATCATTAGTTTCATGACTATAAGCACAGTTTGTGTTCATTAGAAAATCTCATAGGAAACACTTTTATTCAAATATGGCATAGATGGCCTAGAAAAATATCTCCAGGTGGAGAACAAGTTGAGGGAGAAAGAAAATACCTGTGATAGGTTATGAATAAATATACTGTGTGGATTTATAGTGTGTCTTTCTATTGATATAAATACTAATCAAATAAGTTTATGTACTTTCCTAGGCTTTGATTATTTAAATACATATCATAAGACTTTTATATTTATCTAAATAAAAATTATAATAAAAGGTTCTTAAGTTTAATGAATCAATTATACTGTTCACTTGTAACCAAGGCTTGATAAAGAATCCACTAATAATAAAGCATAAACAAAGTAAAGAAGAGTAAAATAGATATTAGGGTAGGCAATTAAGCTTTTATTGCTCATTAAATTTCTAAACACTCATTCATGAGTGACTTTATTAGTCTTTATACAAAGACTAATATCTTAGAAATCAAAAGTATGCCTGATCTTCCAACAAACTCCACTAATACAACTGCAGTACTAAAACGGCTTTTGCATTCCTTATCATTTTTAATTCATACTGAATTTGCTTTGAATGAACATGTTTGAACCTGTGGGACAAATGAAATACCACTTCGGCAAAGTGAACACAATTATCCTTCAGCTCAAATGGGTGGAATAGGCTGATTTGTTAGCACGCTTTCAGAGTAGGATTTTGGTTGGTTAAAAGATAAAATCAAATTTGTTGTTATCCTTTTATAAAAATTTATATGCTCAAGTAATTTTTATGTGTATGTGTAATATACTAATGAACATATAGATGGGTAAATTTTGTGGGTATTTTATATGTTATTTAATCTCTTTAATTTATTCTTTTTGATCAAGCATGCAAATCATCAGATGCATCTGGTAGGAAAACACTTTTTACAGAATAATCCTTACTTTGATATAAATTGCATTTTTATGAGGTATTTTGTGGCAGTTAGAATATTTTTATATTTAGTTTCTCCACGAGTTCTATATACTGAAAATATTTGTAGTACAATATGTATATGTAGAGAAGAGTCAAGTATTTTCAGGAATACCAAATAGAGAGCTCAAAAGAGTTGACGTGGCAATGGAAGAAGACAGATCAATACTTTCTGTTTGATTTACACTTTCCAGACATTTTGGAAGAAAGTGGTCTCTTCTGTTATTGTTAATAGAACTTGGTATTTTCATGGGTGATTTACCTTGGTTTCCATCCTGTTTTGTGCTTTTTTGAGACACACTAAATAACCCTTACAGGAAAGAGATGGAGATGAGAATAGAGGACATGGGGCTTATAATCTGTTTAGAAAGTTTTTTACCTCTTATTGCAAGATATATCACTATAAAACATATATTTGGTAGTTTAGAGTACTCAGTCCTTGCTCTTTACCTGACAGAAAAGTTTAGAGGAATAGCCCTTTCCTTTACCCCCTATAAAAATCAAGGTTGAAAATATTCAGGCCTCTCACCCCATTCCTTCATTATTCCATGTGGCTCTCTTCTCCCTTAGTAAGTGATCCTGTCTTCTATATCCCAAAATAAATAGAGCCTAGGACATGTGAAGTAACAGTTTACTCCCTTTCCTTCCCACACACAGAAAAGCATCACCATGGAACACAAGAACTACATGATTGGGTGCTTGTTGCCCTGTGCATGTCCTCACTTCACCTCCATGTTGTACACTCATCCAATCAGTTGCCATTCCTAGTTAAACCATGCTCTTCCTCCATGCCTCTCATGCAAGATCTTCTTACCCCTTCTTTTCCGATTTTACTCCTCCAGAGGAACTCCATCCTTCAAGAGTAAGCACAACTGCTCTATCCTTTGTTGTGCTTCACCGTATTACTCAAGAATTTCCTCTTGCAAACCCTCATCACACCTTAGCATTGTCTTTGTTTTAGTCTTTGTCAAATTTTTTGTAATGTCTTCCCATTAGCTTCTCATCTCCTTAACGGTAGAATTATATTTATTCTTTGTAGTATTCACAGTCTCCATCAGTACCTGACACTATGAAAGGATGCTCAATAAGTTGAAAACTTGTTGGTGTTACACCAGCTCTAAGGAAGTATATCTGAAAGCCATAAATGTCTTTCAAAAGGATAGAAACAAGGTGTTATAATTCAGTGTCTTTCCTATAGTAGAAGTCAAAGTTGGTTTTACAATAGTTATAGGATATGTATTTCAGTGTTTGCTTAATAGCATCTCTATTAGAATATGAAATGAAAAGTTTTCATCTTACCAACATTACAGTATCAATTTTGACATTAAGGAGTAGTTGTTAGTTTTATTTATCATTTAATTTTTAAATGTTCTGTTTGAATACATGTAGTCAAATAATTGAGTTTCTCTGTTAACATTTTGTTTCTGGAAAAATGTATATAGGTGACTTCTTGCTAATATGTTATAAGTGTAATTTAATCATTGTTTAATTTATTTTTTTGGACACAAGCTTCCTCCTCTTCAGAAGTTTCTGGTAGGCAACTACTTTTTAATAAAACAAATGTTACCATTGTAATTTTTATTTGGTTGTTTGCAAGTTTTTGTTCTCTTCAAAAAGCTATGTTTTTATTACATATAGTGAGTTAATAAAATGTTTCTGGTGAAGGACACATCTTCATTTTATGTTGAGGTTTATATGCTCATAGAGGTATTGCAGTTTCTTGTGTGATATTTTGGAAACAATAAATACAGTACCATGAAGCAGGGGGAGTTACTAGGTAGCAGAAGACAGACTTATACATACCACTTAAATTTGATTACCCAAGTTAATGAATGGTTTTGGATAAGAAAAGTATGTATATATACATATTTATATACCTGTATATGCATATTCTTGTAGATTTTGAGTGCTAATAGCTAATTAAAATAAGTCAGGGTTTGCCTCTCAAAGTTTTTGTTTCACTTTCTGTTTCTTATTTATGTGGCATACGTTGAATAAAAATTAAAATAGAGTTGTACCTTTATTGTAAAAGAGGTATAAAGAGAGAGGTGAAATTTAGCACATTACAAAGAGCCTGGAGACCTGTATATAAATAACAAACAAAAAAATGAGGGACAAGGGGAGATAAGAATTGTGTTTTTTATGCACTTTTGGAAATGTAGAAAAAAAAGTCTTGTTTACTATTCCTTCATCTCATGAATATGGGTGATGTTCCTGTAAACACACAGGGTGAATTTATAGATTCCTTTGGTGTGCTCATTTCTTCTACAATGCAATATGGTAGACTACTAAAAATTATACAAACTAAAGAGATAATTAAATTTATGTGGACAATAAATATAATTTTAAATGTATATTCCATTAATTTTGTACATATCCTCATTTTTGAGTACCTAGCTTGCCCCTTGTTAACCAAGAGAGAACAAAGTACATTTGCAAAAAAAACCTTTTCTTGAAGCATTTTTTTCCCCTAAGGAGAACTATTAACCTGTTAGATGCTCTGTGGACAAGGACCCATGATCACAAAGCTGAGATGCAATACAGTCAATATTCTATGAGCAAAATTCCAAAAATGTGGCTGCTGCATGATTTTGGTGGATTAAATAGTTAAATGTAGACAAAGCTTATATATTAGAACACAAGAAAACTAAAAAATCGAGAACTTCAAAGTATATATTTCATATGAACTCTTGATTGTGGTACAATGTTTGAATCTGACTGTCCTAGTTCATGTTATTAATCAAATGCTAATATGTCAGTGGTTAGAACATTTTTAAATAAACATAGAAAAACATGAAGAAGTTAAATCCACCAGTGTCTAAAAACTATCTAGGATTATTCATAACCCAGTATATTGTGTAACATTTTATAAAATATGTATTTTATTAACATTTTCACCAGGAGTTCTTTATGTTTAACTTTGTATCTAAATAGTACACATATGTACTAGAGATTTCATGTTTGTATATATTTTTATATGGCAGAAGCATGTTTTAGAATTATTTGATGACATTACCATTAATGCTTATCCTTACTCTAAAAGGAAAATCCCTTTATGTGTTAAAATAATTTCCAAATTTTATTATTTATTTTTATTAATGATACATTTTTAATAATTTTTACATAAAATTAGATCTGTTGTTCTGTTTTTCTTTTCTCTCTCCCTCTTTCTCTCCCTCCCTCTCTTTCTTCCAGAATTCCACTGAACTCTCACTAAGCTACATCCCCAACTCCCTTCTGAAAACTATTTCAAAGAAGGGTCTGAATACCCTATTAGTGAATATAACTAAGTAGCACCAGAAGTTTTTCTTATAGGTCATCGCCAGATAGGGAAAACAGAAATAGCACTTTTTTTTTCACTCTAGATCCACTTAACATAAAGTGAAAGGAGAAGCTGAAACAGTTTTTTCTTTCTTTCTCTTTGTCTCCAAGTGATCTAAACTCACGAAGGCATCTAGAGAATTTACACTGAAACTTGATATGCAAGGTCTATATATAAAAGATATCCAAAAATCTTAAAAATAAATTAGAGATATATTTTGAGAATCAAGCTATAGCTTCTTAAAAGCCATAGTTGCAGTTTATAATAAATTGTGTTTTTTATGTATTTTATAGATATCATTTCCAAGTCAAGGCCATACACAGATATGTAAAAAAAAATCTTGTTTATAGATGTACACTTCTTCAGTTGTAACTAGTACATTAACTTTTACAAGATAGCTTGAATCATCCTATGCTCTAAGAAAATATGAAAATTTTCTACCCCTAGGAGTAATTAGATCATATTTGAATACTTAGGGGCTATTTGATACACTATATTGATGCATAAGATTTTCATAAAATACAGGCCAGGGATGTAGCTCAGCAGCACAGCACCTGCCTGGCAAGCATGAGGCCCTGAGTTCGATTCCCAGTACACCCCCAATTTTTTTTCATAAAATGGGAAAATTCTTCAAATTTAAAAAATTTTCTCAACTAGGGATTTTTGTTAGTATTTAGAGTAAAACACTAATTACATTTTATAGAAAGTATTAATGTCTCAGAAATACATACTGTAGTGTTACTTAAAAACTAATATCTATTTTTGATGCCTTTTTTAATTTTTAAAAATGTTTTTTGCTTTTTTGTGTTCATTGCTTTAGGTTTGTTTTTGTTTTTGTTTTGTTTTTTGTTTTTTGTTTGGTTTTTTGTTTTGTTTTGTTTTGCTTTGTTTTTGGTTTACTAGTATTTTGAAATTGCATCACAGCCTTTTGGTTAGTTACAGTGTTTTTTCAAAGGTTATTGAGGATAAAGGAGGAAATAATAATGTGCCTCTCAAAATACCTCACTACTACTGTATGCTGAGGGATCTCAAAAGAATCTGTGAGTCCTCACTTCCACTTATAAGTCTACCTTTTACCACTGTGATTACCACTCAGTATTTCTGAAAATATCTCTGATATGCCAATCCAATTTCACTTTGCATTTGCCACCTTCTTACTATTTCTACACTATTTGAGTCCTATTCTTCGGTTGTGTGTGTTTTTGTTTGTTTTTGTTTTTGTCTTTTCTTAATTTATGGATTCAGATATGGAAATACTGGAAGCTTTCTAAATAAAAAAATTAATTACTTCTTGGTGTAATCAAGTTTTATATTCATTTTTAACTAAAAGAAAAAAGATCTTGCTAATGCTATTTTATGTTTGAATTTTTTTCCTGTTATTTGTTTTTGAATATCCAAAGTTGATTTGTAGATAGAAACCATTGTTAATAAAATTGTGGAAAGACAGTGTAAAAGAGAATGCTTTTAAATGATTCATCATTTAACAAATTTAAAACTGCAAAACTATAGTGTTTGGCTACGGGTTGCTATAAAGCATGTGCCTACTGTTGCCCAATATATGAGGATCAACTATATTCATTTGCTTTACATTAGTGTAAGTTTTTAGTTGAGATTCAGATATTTAGTTTTTACTCCAAATTTAGAATGAAATTTTTAAAGCTGTTTAAGATTTTTTGTTGTTGATATTGTTTTCTTCTGATTTGCTTTTAGCCTTTGTGTATATCCTTCATATGTGTGTTAATCTGTGGATTCTCCTTTCCTCTCTACTTCTGGTAGAGAGAACTCAAATCTAATAACATAAAACCTTGTACCTGAAAACAATCCTTTATCAAAACCAACTGTGTTTTGCTACTGCACACATCAAAAATTCATTTTCTCCATGTTTTTAGTTTCTGCATTTAAAGCTCTTACTATCCCTGTTGGCTTATATATTTACAATCACTATTTTGTCCTAGAAGTTTTATATTCCTTTTGGATGTGTTTTCGGGAACAGTATTGTTATTAAATTGAAATTAAGTGATCTTCATATAGAACAATATTAGAGATTCTTAGAAATTTGAGTGTTTCTTGTTTAGACACTAAATAACCTGTATCAGAGTGGTGAAGAGATAGTTCCTTATAATAACAGTTGATAAGTCTTTTTTAAGTAAAAAATTGTACAATTGTACACAGTGAGTAGATATGTAATATAAAGTTATATTACATGTCTTACATTATAAGACAAAACTTTTTTATTTATATTTTCAGTGAAAGAATTTCTAGCCAAAGCCAAAGAAGACTTTCTGAAAAAGTGGGAGAGTCCTCCCCCGGTAAGGAATATTTGCATTTTTCTACAAGTTAAAATATTTGTTAAATAAAATCGTGACTCTGGCCTAAGTAATTTATTACTTCAAAATTTTAATTTTCAGAGCCAGGGATTTAGCTCAGTGGCACCACACCTGCCTTGCAAGCTCAAGGTACTGAGTTCAATCCTTGGTACCATGAAAAAAAATTTTTAATTTTCAAGTGCCTTTAGTTAATATAAGCTTAAAATTGGGATTATGCAATAATATTATGTTTCAGTATATTAATAATTTTACATAAATCTAAATCAGAGAAGGAATACATTTTTCATATACCTAATGTGTTGATACTAACTCAAAGTTGTAAGAAACTCTTGATATTTTCTAATATTAATTTTGTATTATGTCTTTGACAGCATACCTAAAGGTGGACATTGTGATTACAAAAATATTAGATATTATATAACATGAAACTTAAGAGAAATGAGGAAGATGGCATATTTTTATTCTAGAAAGAAAAGCAATGAGTATCATAAATAGATGTTCTTTTGTATACTAATAGTGTTTTTTTTTTCTATTATTTGGTGGGCACTATATGAAGCATTTCAATCCACTTATGTTGTTAAACCAAAAATTAAGTATCGTTCTATAAGATGAATTCAATCAGAAGTATAAGGACTTTTCCAAAATGATAATCTTGTTAAGTGTGAAATTAAAACATGATGAAAACAAATTTTGTAAGTAAAATGTAGGGTTGCTTTCCATCTCTGTAATGATCCATGAAGAAATTCTATGATGTGTTATAAAAGGCAATGTTTGATTTACAGTAGAGCCAGGGATTTAACTCAGTGGCACCACACCTGCTTCACAAGCTCAAGGTCCTGAGTTTGACCCCCGGTACTGTAAAATACAAAGAATATAGTGGGTATAAATGATTCACAGTAGAGATTAAATTCAGAAATATTGAATTTCAGCAAGTATACAGATTCATTACATATACATAATCATATTATATCACATTTTTTCTCTACCTTAACACTATAGACTGTGACTTAGAAGTATTTTTCTGAGATTTTCATGAGTAGCTTTATAAACAAACCTACTAAACAAATGGGTCAGCAACTACTACATGTTGCTATTTAGCATGTAATTTGTTCCTAGTAATTTTCATTTTGTTGTGGCAGCAACAAATTCAGTAGATTGATGCCTCCAATTCTTTGTTTAATGCTGTTGTCAAAGCCAAATATGTTGGCTTGTAACAAAACATCTATTCAAGGAGAAAAATGAGCCTGTTTATCCTGAGAGTAGCTTTTGGTTCTTTGTAGAATGAGAAAATCCTCTTTCTTTATTGTTACTACTTTAGGTAATACTAGGTTATGACAGTACAAGTAGACCTTCATGCTGTTGTTATCTAGTTCTTTAAGTTACTATAAAGATACAGATGAAATAAGACAATGCTTTCTGCAAAGCAGAAAGGCTTTCTGCAAAGCCTTCTCTGATGAGAAGGCTGATCCTTCAGTTTATCTACTCAGTCTGATTATTTATTTACAAGATTGCAGCTTATATGGTTTTATCAGTATACTTTTGGTCAGTTTGTAATTATTAAAATGTATAAATAATTAGGTATTCAGTAGTAGAAAATTCATATTCAAATCTGATCTTTACAAATTCACCTGTGGCTTTTTTTTTTCATTACTGTTACACACCACTTTGCAATATAATTTCCTTTTCTCTCATTAGACTCTCTCTTATTCAAAGGGGAAAATAGAGCCAATTACTTGAATACCTGGAATCTGAACACTCCTTTTGTATTATTTCTAAAGAGATAGTTACCTAAATTTTCTATTCTGATGATATATTATTAAAGTGGTTATAATTACCGTCTTGTGAGAATTTCTAATTTTAATTTTCTTTTTTATGCACATGTAGAATAATGCTGGACTTGATGATTTTGAAAGGAAAAAAACTCTTGGAACAGGTTCATTTGGAAGAGTCATGTTGGTGAAACATAAAGCCACTGAACAGTATTATGCCATGAAGATCTTAGATAAGCAGAAGGTAAGCATTCCTCATTTTTTACCTGCAGAGCAAATTTCAGTTTTATCAGCTAGCCTAAAAATACATGCATATAAATTACCACTGGCACTCACAAATAATTTTATCATTATATTCATTTTTTTCTAATTTATTGTGATTATATAATGCATAGTTAATAGTTTTAGTATATGGGGATACATTATTATTTCAGTAATGCTTATGTGTATAATTACTAACAAAATACTGAATTTAACATGTGAAGAACAAGCATCTCTACTACATTCTGCCTTGTAGAAAATTGCAGGAACCAATTTCTTATAATATCATTATACTGACATAACTGAAATTTTGTAATTTTGTTTTATGACTTATTTTTATTCACATTAGAAGCTCTCTTATGTAACATTATGGGTTTAGTAAATTTAAATTATCAGTCAAAGTAGGAAAACCTTGTGAAACATATTTTAGAAAATAAGTTTTAATTATCACTTATTAGTATCTAATGAATCAATATAACCTGAAGTATTCATGCTTTAAGTTTCAACTTCTTGTTTTCTCTAGTAATCACCATTAAGGTAAAGAAAAAGAATAATAATGGAATATCTTACAGTTCTTATGTTCCCAAGAATGACTTTTTGGCTTATTGGGATATAGGTAGGAAAATGGGAGGAAACATTATTAGACCAATAGTCACACTTACAGACATTGACTAGACTAGACTAATACTGTCAAACAAATATAATGGAAACCACCTGTGCAACTTTAGATTTTCTAATAGCTACATTTAAAAAAGTAAAAATAAACATTTACATTCATTTTCATAATGTTTCATTTTAATAGCCCTGTCCTTAATACAATTAATATAAAATTGAGGTATTTTACTTTTATCTTCAAAATCTGATATGTTTTTTACACTTTCTCTGCAACTCATCTAGGATTAACCACATTTCAAGAGTTAAATAACCACATGTGCCCAGTCCCATCATATTGGAGAGAATAGCACCCAACTAGTCAGAGGTTTCAGTCCAACCTTCATTTTAGTTAAAACTAAAATCTTAACATGAAAAGTGGTAATGGCTTAAGCCTTTCTAAAATGGAGTGGATCCATCTGCACTTTTAACTGTATATCCTTGTTCACTGAACCTCATTCACAAATCTTTTCTAACCTGCTTTCTTTTTTTTTCCATATGAAGTTTATTGGTACATTAAAAGCAAACAGTACAGTTACATTTATCATTGGGATCTTGAACCTTTACATGATATATCTTGGTTCTTGTTTTTTCACCATACCCCTGCCCTCCGTTCACCCCCTTCACCCTTCCCTATTTACAAGGACTTTGTTTCTGTTTTTTCATTTTTTTCACATTTTTTCCTTTTCCCTTATTTCCTTTCCCCTCCCCGCTCCACTTCCCCTTTAGCCATTTTCTTCCTATTTCACACTCTCAGTTATTCCATTGGAACCTTATTTACACTTTTAGTTTTTCACACCAGAGAAACTATTCGTTATTTACTCAAGTATGTCCTATTAATTTCACTTGAGTATAGCCTCAATGTGCAGCCATTTAGCTATAAATGACTCTAGTTTCTCATTTTTTATGGCTGAATAGTACTCCATTTTATAGAAAAACCACATCTTCTTTACCCAGTGTCTAGTTGATGGACATTTGGGTTGTTCTGGCTTGCCAAAGATTAAAACTAGATGCCTATCTTTCACCATGCACTAAACTAAAATCCAAGTGGAATAAAGATCTAAATATCAAAATGGAAACACTAAACTGACTGGAAAGGAAATTACGTAGAACTCTTGAAGACATTGGCATAGGAAAAGACTTTATGAGCAAATCCTCAGCAGCATGAGAACTTGCGCAGAGAATCAACAACTGGGATCTCATTGTATTAAAAAGTTTTTGTAGTCAAAAGAAATCACCAACAGAGCTAAGAGACAACCTACAATGTGGGAAAAAAATTTTTACCAGCTACTAGTCAGACAAAGGACTACTATCTAGAATATATAAAGAACTCAAAAAAAAAAAATCAGACCCCCAAATACAAAGACCTGATACAAAAATGAGCATCTGAAATGAACAGACATTTCTCAAAAAAAGAAGTAAAAGCAGCAAATAAATATATGAAAAAAATGTTCAACATCACTGATCATTCGAGAGATGCAGATGAAAACAACACTGAGATTCCATCTCACCCCAGAAAGAATGGCTGCTATCAAGAAATCAACCAATAACAAATGCTTGAAGGGCTGTGGGGAGAAAGAAACCCTTCTCCGTTGTTGGTGGGAGTGCAGACTGGTGCACCCACTGTGGAAATCAATATGGTGATATCTCAAAAAACTAGGATTAGAGGTTCTATTTGATTCAGCCATCTCTCTGCTGGGTATCTTTCCAAAAGAATTAAAAGAATCATATCACAGTGATACATGCTCACCTATGTTTCTAGCAGCACAGTTTGTAATAGCTAAAACTTGGAAACTTCCTATTAATTCTTTAACCCAGAGCAGTTCAGCTGCACCCTCATTCATCCCATCTCTAGCTAGCCCACTGAAGTGGCTCTACCCAGAGTCATCAGTCCAGTGACCAAACCTCAGGTCCAGTGGATTCTTTTTTACTCATCTGTGATCTTTTTTTAAACATATGACTGTGCTGACCACTCCCTTGAAACTGTCTCGTCCTGACTTCTGGAATCTCTTATTCTGACTTATGCGCTTTCCTTTCTGGCTCTTCCACTTCTTGTCCCTTTTCCCATTTTGTTTTGTTTTATTCCTGTGGCTGTTCTTCAAGAATTGCTGATGTTCACACTCTGGACTAGCCTGCCTTTCCTTCTGCTTATTGTATGCTCTCTCTCTTATCAAACAGGCTCAAACCTTTCTTAAGCCCTCTAGTCCTAATTTGTACAGTCTGAGCCCGGCACTCCTAGAGAACCTTTAGGTCCTGCCCTCATTTTCTAAATGAGGCAACTTTCTTTCTTGTGTTGGTAGCACAACAGCAAAAATGCTTCAGATTTATTGTTTTTATTAAACGCATCATTAAATTGTTTTTCCTGGGTAGCTCTTAGCGTTTTTTGTTCTTAAGGAATTTGTAGAATGTGCTTCACTCACAAAATTTCAACAAGATAACAAAATACATCACCTTATGTTATAAAGTTAGGGAAGAAGGCTTTAATTCCATTTTTGTTTGTTTCTGGCAGAGCAGTGACTTGTTAGTTACAGCGACTTGTTAAATTACTGAGCCAGTTACCTCATAGAACAATTATGGCAAACAAGTGTTTCCCAGAAGAGTAACTGCCATTTTATTTCATTTCTATTTCTGCAATGTTCTGGGCCTGCACATAATAAGAATGAAAGACTATATTCTGAATTTTTTTCTACTTTATTTAACTTGCTGAAGATAAGTAATAAAATAACACTCCATAGTAACTCCGTTTTCTATTATTAAATTAAATCACACAAATCTTTTGATTAAATCAGCTTGGCTTCTCCCATCTTAGGATGAATACGGAATAAGGAGGAAAATCAATGCAGAAATGGGAAAAAAATGTCATTTCTTCTCTCCATGCTGTGTGTCAAGCACTATATATATAGTATATATATAATTATATATACTATATATATAGTACATGTATGTACTATATATATAGTATAGCATATATATGTATATAGTATATATACAGAGAAAGAGAGATCTATATATCTTCACAACTTTGTGTGGCATTAATCTTTTCAGCCACTAACCTCTATAAAAATTTTTTCAAAAGTCATATAGCTAAAACCAAGAAGTTGACTAGGTTTGTTGGATTCCCATGCCTTTATTCCTTACTTTTTCTTTAAAATATATTTATATCTCTAAGATCCTTTCTAACACCTCATAGTTTGATCCCATAGTCCCTAATAAACCTCAACTGGTCTTTTCCATTAATATCATGATTTTCACAACCTCAGACTGTTTACCCATACTAATTTATCTACTGACAATATGCCAGCCAAATGTTTAAATTCATAGCATACCCATCAAGAAAGCTTCACCGTGTTTATTAAATGAAGTCGGAATTCAGCCCGCTCAGAATATAGCCTATTTCCTAATCCTTCACAGGTTTCTTACCAATTCCGTTGTGGTCTCTTATCTCATACTATTCTCCACATGTTCTCAATCCTGTACTGCTCTGACTTGAAACTTGACTCACAGGAGTATATGATGCTCTTTTTGGAGAGTGTGGAATGATATGTGGCCTGTTTTCTTTATTAATAACTCACATGTTTGGCTCTAAAAAATCAGCTGTTAACAAATCACTCATCAGTTCTGTAAGTCTATATATTTAACAGAAATATATAAGAAGTAAAATGAATTTTTATGAATCTTGAACTTAAAATATGGACTATACCCCTAAGGATACTTGGGAAATTTTCTCTGCCACTTAGCATTTCATATTTCATTACCAAATTTTGAAAAGCACTATCCTGACAACTGAATGGAACTACCACTCAGACTTACTTCTCTCTGTTCTCCTCTTACTGGATACTAACCCTAACTGAACTTTCTCCCCTGTATTTCCCTAACCTTTATTATCCATCTCATTTTTAAGAATCAGTTCAGCCTTGCCTTTTAAAATAGGTTATAATAACGTCTTTACCATGTGTCAGTACGATATTAGTTGCTTCACATGCATTGTGCCACACAGCTACTTTTAAGGCAGCATTATCAGCATTTTATGACTGAATAAAATACTGCATCCTCATCCTCAAACATTTTCTCCTCTGATAGCTTGTGATGTCATAACTCTCATTTGGCAATTATTCTAGTCAACCTATTCATGCGTCCAATTTTCAATTAGATCTTTTGTATGTAAAGCCTGACATTGTCTTGTCCTTATCTCTGTAGGTGCTATTATTATGCTTAATGTGTAGTAGATATGCATATTTTAAAGTAAATTTAATTTCAAATGGTTAATTTTTAGCTATTAATTTTAAAATGAGTGAAGTATATGTGCTTTGGCAGTTCATATATTTTGAATTCATTTATATTTTTAATTATATTATGTCCCTCACATACATAGTTGGTTTAAGACTGTAATGCAGACAGCCTCTCTGGTTTAGTTTTCATTATTTATTTCACAAGCCAACATACTGTTTATGCCTAATTAAAAATCTCATTTATCCTAATATACAAAAGTAAACACAAAGCAAGAGTAATTTTCCAGCTGATGTTATGTATGTTATTGTGAAAATAAGGACTAATTAATTTTGTAACGAGTTAAAATATGGATGATAATGACCCAACTACTTCATGTTACAGATTTTAAAAACTGAGATTCAAAATATTGAAATAACATCTCCAAAAATTTACCAAGCTGATTGAATAGAAGCCCTAAGCTAGAACACAGATCTTCTGACTCCTGGTACATTATTCTTTGCTCAGATTACTTATGTATTCCTCATTTTACAGAGTATACCATTAACTGGATAATGCCTTTCATTGTGTTAGATGGTTGATTTCTACAACCACACCCACACTGATGAGTTTCTAGCAAGAATGCAAACCTCTAATGACTTACACATACACACACAATTATTTGTCTTTTCTCTTTTGTTACCTTTCCTTCAATTCAAAATAAAACTGCATGTGGAATAGAGTCACAATCTTAATGTAGTCAAGACAAACTGCTTTCCCCCTTCTATCGAGTAAATAGTATATAGGAAGCTTGATTAATCCTAAATGACCTATTTTCTATAAAGACAGTAATTTTTGCTTATATTTGTGTGTCATCATCTGATGCTGTACAGATTAAATGTTTAGATTTTGTAGCTATCTTTATTTATTATGAGATGAAGACATTATTCGTTTTTACCCATTGTTTTATAATTCTGAATGTTTACTTAATACCTGTTTTTCCTTACTGATTTTAGGAAGTATGTGTAATCATTACCTGCATGGGGAAGTGATATAGTGATCTGACTATAAGTCATAAGAGCCAAGAATTTTCACATATTAATTTTTAAGTAATCTTTATGGGTCTATATCTTTGTTTCCACTTAGCTCTTGCCGATTGATTCATAGTTGACCTTCATAAGACCAAAGTTGAAACTTTCTACTAGATTTTTTCAAGCCATATAAACCTATATGATTATTTTGCTTATCTAAATTTCACAGTTTTGCTTATTCAATTTTATTATATGGAAAACATTTTTATTTTAAAATGATAGTAACTTTTAAATTCTGTTTGAATTCACTGAGATTCATTTATCTTATTACAGGTTGTTAAACTGAAGCAAATAGAGCATACTTTGAATGAGAAAAGAATATTACAGGCAGTGAATTTCCCTTTTCTTGTTCGACTGGAATATTCCTTTAAGGTAAATTTTAGTAATATATAAATAAATTATTTTCAACTAGATGTACTTTTTAAAATACAGTTCTGTAGTAGAATTCTAAAATAAATGATAAGCTGGAAAGTATAAATAAATGAAGGAGAGACATTAGATGTTTATGTAATCAAATTCTATTGTGCTTACAAACTTATGTAGCATTGGAAAAGGTGTTCTTTGTGGGACACTTGTTCAAGGTGGTGTGTGACTTTCATAAGAAAGCATTTAAAATCAAGTATTTTAGTGATGCAGAAACATAGCAGTGTTATTACATAACTCTTAAACTCATCCAAACGAATATGATAGAAACACCTCTGCTTCTCTTAAACATTTTTCTTATGACCTCATTACTTTATTTTACTTAATTTGAATTCTACTCTTTTCTTTATATAAACAAGGCAGAACATTCTTTGCTCTGCTGTTCCAAGTGTCTGAGAAAGTGCAAAAGATTTATTCTTTTTTTTTTTCAGCTTTAATTGAGTTTATTGGTACATTTTAGGGATACAGTACAGTTACATTCATTGTTGGGATCTTGTACCTCTACATGACAAGTCTTAGTTCTCATTTTTTCCCCTTCTCCCTGCCCTCCCTTCACCCCCTCCTCCCCTCCCCATCTACAAACACTTATTTCCATCTTTTTATTATCTCACATTTTTTTTCTTTTCCCTTATTACCCTTCCCCTACCCATCCCACCTTCCCTACACCTTTAGCTCCTTTCTTCCCATTTCTCAATGTCAGTAATCTTATTAGGATCTTCTCTATTATTGCAGATTATTCACACCAGAGAAACTATTCAGTATTTACACATGTGTGCCTTATTTCACTTAGGAGTATATCTTCAATATGTATCCATTTTCCTATGAATGAATCTATTTTCTCATTCTTTATGGCTGAGTAATATTCCATTTTATAGAAAAACCACATCTTCTTTATCCAGTTTCCAACGGATGGGCAAATGGGCTGTTTCCAAGTTTTAGCTATTACAAACTGTACTGCTATAAACATGGGTGTGCATACTTCTCTGTGATATGATTCTTTTAGTTCTTTTGGAAAGATATCCAGCAGAGGGATGGCTGGGTCAAATGGAACCTCCAGTCCAAGCTCTTTGAGGTATCTCCATATTGATTTCCATAGTGGTTGCACCAGTCTGCACTCCCACCAACAAAGGAGAAGGGTTCTTTTCTCTCCACAACCCTGCCAACATTTGTTATTGTGTGATTTCTTGATAGCAGCCATTCTTTGTGGGGTGAGGTGGAGTCTCAGTGTTGTTTTCATCTGCATCTCTCAAATGATCAGTGATGTGGAACATTTTTTCATATATTTACTTGCTGCTTTTACTTCTTTGTCTGAGAAATGTCTGTTCATTTCGGATGCCCATTTTTGAATCGGGTAAAAGATTTATTCTTTAAATTGGCACCTTTGCAACTCTTCAGAATAATACTTGGCACCTCTCTGTGCCGTTGAATCATATGGAACACTGTAACCTTTTTTATTCCAAATGAAGATATTTGTATCTAAGATATTAAAACTGCTTTTACTTCTTTGTCTGAGAAATGTCTGTTCATTTCGGATGCCCATTTTTGAATCGGGTAAAAGATTTATTCTTTAAATTGGCACCTTTGCAACTCTTCAGAATAATACTTGGCACCTCTCTGTGCCGTTGAATCATATGGAACACTGTAACCTTTTTTATTCCAAATGAAGATATTTGTATCTAAGATATTAAAACCATTAATCTTTTAGACATAAATGGTTCTTATGAGCTTTTATCAAAGGAGTTTTTTAACTTCATTATTCCTTTCCATATACTGTAACACTGTATCATTGCCTCAGTGTTTAATTGTCAAAGAGTTAAGAGATCCCTTTGAAACAGAACAGCAAAAGTGCTAGGGAGTTATATGGCACCAATATATGACTATAATATGGGAGGTAAGTCAAATAACACAGCATAGAAGAGCTTGAGCATTTTCTATTTCTTTTCTTTTTTCTCAATTGTATTAATCTTTCAATTGTCTTGTTCTAAATGAATGATGGTATAATTTTAAAATATTTTAGCCAGATTTTATAATTTTGGCCTTATTTCCTTTTGTTCATTCATAGGATAATTCTAATTTATACATGGTGATGGAGTATGTTCCTGGTGGTGAAATGTTTTCACATCTCAGAAGAATTGGAAGGTTCAGGTGATTAATGTTTTCCCTTCCTCAAGTCTTTATGTGTTTGGCCTTTTTGAATCCAGATTTTTAAATTAATCCCTATGCCAAAATTTCCTTTAATTTAGTTAACTAATATTTTAGAAATATGAATATAAAATTCTTTAAGGGCCTGAAATTTGTGAAAAATGTAGATAGAGCCTACGCACTGTAGCCATGGCTGTATCCATTTGGCACTTTTCAGTCACTCTCAGATTCAGACATAATTCTAAAGAACCACTATCTTCTGATACGGGCAATAATAATTTATAATAGCATAACAATAAGGTACAAACTCTTCTTAAATTCGGTAGATATTTTAACAACTTAACCTAGCCAAAACTTTAAGAATGAAATTTGTGTGAAGTACATTTTTGTACGCATTTCACCATACAACCAGTCATCATTTCTACACATATTTCTTTCCATCTTCAGCCTTTTCTAAACCTAATTCAAATATTATTGATAAATGTCATTATATAATGTTATACACTATATTATTATATCTCAAATACTATTTGTTGAATAATATACATTGTTTAAAATTTAATGTTTTCATTTTCAAGAAACTTAAAATAATCTCAAAATATCTACTAATGGTAAAATTTTTAAATTAGTTTCATATTACTTTTGTTTGAATTTTAAAACCCATGTATGACATGTTTTTTTAACCAGTGTTTTTGCCTAGTGCCTCATATTACTAAAATATTTACAATAAAATGACTTTTAAGATTATGTTTTGTTTGTTTTTTGTTTTTGTACTATTCTCATGATTAAACACAGAGCCTTTGCACCCACCTACATCCCTATCCCCAGCACCTCCCCTTCATTTTTTAAAAATTTTGATGCAGGATCTTGCTAAATCACTGAATTGCCCAGGCTGGGCTCAAACTCACAATTCTCCTGCCTCAGCCTCCCAGAGTACTTGGATTATAAGTATGCGCCACCATGCCTGGCTAAGATTATATTTTTTTTCTTGGTACCATGGATCGAACTTGGGTCCTTGTGCTTGCAAGGCAGGTGGCAGAACCACTGAGCTAAATCCCCAGCCCAGATTATATATTTTTTTCAATGTAAATTAAATATCAGTGTATCCAGGTGCATAGAGAAAACATGTCCCCTAAACTTATCAAATCATTATTTGAAGATAATTTACTAAATATGTGGAAATTAAATTCTTTACATATACTTAAAAAGTGCTTTTCTTTCCCGCAATACCGTACTATAGGTTAATTTTTATGTATAGCCCATTCATTGATATTTGTTATCTATTTTACCTGAAAATCAGCATTTTGTTTCTTTGCAGTGAGCCCCATGCGCGGTTCTATGCATCTCAGATAGTGCTGACATTTGAGTACCTCCATTCTCTGGACCTCATCTACAGAGATCTAAAACCTGAAAATCTCTTAATTGACCACCAAGGTTATATCCAGGTATGACTTGAACACATTATCTATGATGTAGTCAAGAAAATACTAAGCAAGAAGTTTATACATTTAATCTCAATGTGATCTTACAAGTTTAAAATTCCACACGTAACTTCATCTGACAGGGGTAATCAAAATGCAGCTAGATTAAAAATATTGTATAAATTTGCCTTCAAGCCACGATTATAAGATGTGTCTTAAATATAAATGCATTTTGTATTTAGACTTGGGTTCCTTCACCAAGATCTCATTGTGCATATACAAGTATTCTAAAATCTAGAAAAATCTAAACTCTGAAATACTCTGCTCCCAAGCATTGTAGGTAAGAGATGACCAACCTCTATTATCTCTTTGAATCCTGATAACCTATAAAGTGTAAATGTTGTTGTTGTCCTCATTTTGAGGCAAACAAAATAAGGCATTAGAAGAAGGTCACACAGTCACTAAATGGTAGAGTCAGAATTTGAACCAGACAGTCCGATCTGATCCATGCTCTCTGCTACAACAGTACATTGGTCATAGTACTTGGAAATGCCAGTCCATTTCCGCACAGTCACGGTGCAGCAGCCTCGCTCGCACACAGTTGTGAGTGGATCCTCCTGTTAATGCCTTCATGCTTTGGTGGTGCAATTCATGACAGAGGACACATCGGACTTAAGGCATATTTATTATTTGTTGCATTATTATTAAAACTATTTATTTTTCCATCGTACTCTCACTTGTATTCCTTGAGTCTAGAATTTTAGGAAAAAGACTGAAAAGTTTTGCTGCTGTCCCTTTGTTTTGAGAGGGAATAGGGCCTTCCAACATGGGTTGTTTTAACTTTTGCTCACTAAATAGTTCTCTTTGAGACTCAGTCTGTTACATTGAATTAATTTTTCCCCATTTTTCATAGTTTGAATTTTAACCTCTAGCCTTTAAGTTTTAGTTTCATTACAGTAAATACATGTATGACAAACTGAGAAAGTTTCACAAGTCTGTTTTGTTTTTGTTTCTTTTAAATAGGTCACCGACTTTGGATTTGCCAAAAGAGTTAAGGGCAGAACTTGGACGTTATGTGGCACTCCAGAGTATCTGGCTCCAGAAATAATCCTCAGCAAGGTAATATTGATAGTTTCCATCTGTGTGAAGCAGGATTATTAGGCATACAGCACAGTGCAGTTTGGATGAAACAGTTTATCACCTAATTTCATAATTTTATTGCATATAATATATGAATTCAACTATTTATGCATGATTACTAAAGAATAATTATTTAGAGTCTACCACTTATTTTGTTAGAGAAAAGGAATGAATAAATCTAACTTCTACTTTATATCCATATGTTTTGATACCCAGAACAGAGTTTCATGATTTTTCCCACTAACGTAAGAGTGAGCAAGCGAGAGATGATATGAACTCTAGTGGTCAGTTCTTCCTTTGTTTCAAATTTACCACCTAAGTAAAGGAATATGTGAAAGTCAGTTTTAAATTTTAGTTTAATAGCAGTATTACAACTGTAGAATAGCTTTAGTCAATGAAAGTGGTATAACTTTTACAAATAGTGAAATTCCATGGAAGAAACTGTAACCATATTTAAAGAATGTTTTAACTTCTCCCTTCCTTAAAAAACTAGAAAGGGAAACTAACAAAAATTGAGTACAAATAAAAATGAAGGAGAGGAGAGAAATAAAACATTCTCATATACAGACCACAAACGACATACTGAACTTTGGCTAAAACAAAATATTGCTTATAGATCTCTTATTATCTTTCATAATTTAAATCTTTTATAGCTTTTTAGTCTTCTGTTATCCAAATATCATTGCTGTTTCTTTTTCTTTAAATGTGGTTAACACAAAATGTGACCACAGAATAAGCACCAATATTTTTACAAGTGTGTTTTAAAAGTAGTAGATATTTATTGTAAAACATTTGGAAAATACAGAAAAAAAAACAATAAGAACAGCAACAACAACAACAACAACAACAAAAACCCTGCAATGCAATCCCACCACTTAGGGATAGACTTAAAGGAAAAAAAATCAGTATATTTTTATATGCATGTTATTTACATCAGATCATAATGAATGTGTAGTTCTGTGTCTGGCTTTTTTCACTTGCACAATAACAAGTATGCAAACACGGTATTGTGTGAGAGTGTGTGTTTGAGTGTGTGTGTGTTCATTAGTTCCTATCCTTTGCCTATTATCTTTTGAAACTTAGTGTTTTCCTTATTGATTTGTTTTCATTCTCTATACTTATGGTATTAGCTTGTGTCTGGCACATTTACTTTAAACATTAAAACAGAATTTAAAACATAGAAATCAAGGAATTAAACAAAGTTGATACCCATTTCTGTTAGCAAAATAAAATGTTATTCCTGTATCTGTTTTTTTCCTTTTCAAAATAATACAGAATAAGGGAAAAAAAGGGGGAAAGAGATTGCCAGAGATGGTGGCACAGGCCTGTAATCCAGCACTCTGGGAAGCTGAGGCAGGGGGATCACAAGTTCCAGCCTACTCTGGGCAACTTGTTGACTTAGCAAAACCTAGTCTCAAAATGAAAATGAAAAGAATTGGGAATGTAGCTTAAAGTAAAGAGTGTTGGTTCAGTCATCTGGACTCAAAAAGAGAAGGTAGGGGAGAACAAAAAAGGAGAGAAAGGGAGGGAATTATAGCATTGTATTTTAGCTAATAATTTGGAAACAATCGTTTGTAAAGCTAACATTCGGACAAAAGGTTGGAATGTGGAGAGGGTGATAGTAATCAGAAGGGGACTTTTGAGAGCAGATCAAAAGACCTGGGAAGAACTCAGCTTATTTTTCCCCATGTTTAAAGAGTGTTAACTTTTTTCCCATGATCTGTGCCACTTGACCAAGAACACAGTTGCCAACAAAGTTTGTGTACATGTGTTAATGTAAGCAAATTATCATTGGCTTTTCTTCAACTTCTATGTTAATTTTAGTAAGCTTAATATAAAAAATTAACCATAATCTTTGAATTGTTTGGTATGCAAAACATTTTTAAACATGTTACTCTCTTTCATTTAATGTACAGACACTCCTCGTTTCATGGCTAAATAGTGGTCATGCTGTTAGGTTGTTAAATGAACTGGTGGCTAAATGAGGAATTGTGTATAGTGTGTACATTACAAGATTCAGAACAACTATATGGTCAAAGGAGACTCCAACTTGCTGGCTTTGCTTTTGTTCGCATAACTCTTACATGCAGTACTACAATGTATAACAGAACATAAAACTATAGTACTACATTGTACAGTACAATCAACAAAAATTACAGTACTGTATTAACAAGGTATACTATATAAAAAGACACTGAGGTTGTATAAATAATACAGAACTGTCAGACTGAGCATAAGTGCTGGTGCAGGTCATAAGTCCAAACAGTCCTTAAGTAGGTCATTAAATGACAAATGCTTGTATTCTTCATAAAACCCTATGAACTTTCTTTCCTGTAGATGTTTAGATATAAAAAGAAAAACAGTAGATTGTAAAAGTAGATTATACTTAAGTATTTACATCAGTTTGATTCCACATTAAACGTTTACCCTTCACAAGAACCTATGAAATAGACACCATTAGCTCTGACATATTCACTCTTCTAACTCCCAGAAGGTAGAATATTTTGGAGTCTATTCCAGTAATACTATTTTGTTTCAAAAGCTTTGACCTTTCTATAGAAAACCTAATCCATACAATTATGGCCCTAGAATGGTCCCTTTCTATTGCTGAGAAACAAAATTATCCCAGTGAAACAGAACAAATTTCATTGTCAATAACATTTATCGTGGTTTTAGGAAGAAGATTTAATAAGCTTTTTTGATATTCAATTCCAATAACTGGAAATTCTCCCTTCTGTTTAATTTAAATCTGACCTGATATATATTTTGTTCATTTTTTAAATTCTATCCCTAGTAGCTGCTTAGGAACTGCTTTAAATTTTTTCTATGCTTCCAGATCATTTTGAAATTACAGATGAGCTCATTTTCGTCTGAGTAATTTAAGTGATAATTGACATTGCTGTTGATTTATCTCAGGGCTACAATAAGGCAGTGGATTGGTGGGCGTTGGGAGTGCTAATTTATGAAATGGCAGCTGGCTACCCCCCATTCTTTGCAGACCAACCAATTCAGATTTATGAAAAGATCGTTTCTGGGAAAGTAAGTAATATATTTTATCATTCCTTTCTTATTCATTATTTCTGTATGTGACTCTTAAGGTTTAAAGATTCCTGTCATGTCATACAATATTATCCTAAATTTGAAAAAATATAGAAATATCTGATACTGTCGCTCTTGTAAGAAAAGTGGCAGTTGTACAAGTAAAATTAGCAATATAGCAAAGCATTTTATTTTTAGTACTTTTTATTGCTTACAAAGAACAGGATGATTGCCTAATTCTCATAATTCCTTCAAATACATAAAAATTGTTAGTTATTTTCATGTGGATAGCTCCTTGGAGAGAAGTTTTAGGAGCTACTTTTCTGTGCTCTTTTTTAGGAGCGAATTCTTTGAATTGTGTCAGAAACTCCATGTTACAAGAAAATACAAAATGGATGAGCCTTTTAGAGTGGAAATTAACAGAATTTTTTCTTAACACAAATGTTCGTGTTGGTTTTATTTGTTTTGTTTTTGTTTTTTTTGAGACAGGGTCTTACTATGTAGTTGAGATTGTCCTGGAACTCACTATGTAGCCCAGGCTAGTCTTGAACTCACAGCGATCCTCCTGCCTCAGCCTCCTGAGTTCTGGGATTACAGGTGTACTCCACCATGCCCGGCTTCATGTTGGTTTTAATTAGCATTGATTTTCAGCAAATACAAACATTATTCTTGAACATGCGTAATTTACTTTGTTGTAGTGCTTTACATTTTGTACTTAACCACATAAGCTTTTTTCTCTTGGATTTATAATCTAATTTTGCTCCCAATGGCATTTTGTTTAGGATCAGTAACCTGCTCTCATAGTTCATGCCTAAGATCGTTTTTGAAAGTACCGCACACAGTCAATCTCAATAGAGATGAGTCTGATTCTTCCTAATGTATAGCAAAGAAGTAGCCTTTTAAACATCTCCAGGAAGAAATGTTCTACACATTAGTGAATTAGTGATAGACTATAGGAGAAAGGATATTTCCCCTTCTTGCTGTTCCTGCCTTTGGTATATGCTTGTACCTTGTCCTTTTTGTTAAGACCACACAGCTCTATTTAGAATATAAATGAGAAACAGAGCATCAGTTTTACTATCACATTGTCCTGAGATATGACATAATGGACTTATTTATATTACAATCTTCTTAGGCAGAGATAAACCTAATCAACCTAAAAATTCTGAAAGAAAATAGAGGCAAAGTCCATTTCTTTGTGTCTCAGCCAGATTCAACCTCTGAAAAGTGTAGAAGCTGACCTCAGCATCCATGAATTTCAAATTTACAAAATTAAATATTTACATGGTACCCAAATGGCCACAATGCAATAATTTATCTTTTCTGCCAGGACCCAAATTTATTTATTTTTTATATTTACCTGTATTTAATTTTTTTACTGAGTTTATTGGTACATCCTAGGTATACAGTACAGCTACATTCATTACTGGGATCTTGTACCTTTATATGACAGGTCTTGGTTCTCATTTTCTCCGCTTGTCCCTGCCCTCCCCCAAATTTCAATCAGGAATGCTGTGCTTCCCTACATTTAAGAATATAGCATGTCTGTTCAACCACTTAGGAGTCCACATTTTAACAGTGTTGTTCCATATGTCGTTGTGCATGTGCAGGCCACAAAGATTATAAGACTTTTTCTTGTATTTTATCAGATATTTTGGAGAAAAATCTTGTTGTGTCAGTATTTATAAATTAGCAGGCTAATAAAAAGACAAAGGATCTTCTATTTGCATTTAAGTTTTTAATGGTTTTAATATAAAATAACATGGAAGAATATGCTTTCCATTCAGAATTGCTTTTTCTGATTTTCAAAAGAATAATTTTGGGGGGGTACCGGGGATTGAACTCAGGTCCTTGCACTTGCAAGGCAGGCCACCGAACCGCTGAGCTAAATCCCTGGCCCTAAAAGAATAATTTTATGCAACATTTTACATTGATTGTATTTTCCATTCTGAAACCATACCATAAAAAATATAGTTATCAGTGAAAATAAAAATAAAGTATTAATTCACTGAAATACATATATTTAAACATTAGATTAGATATTTCCTCTATTACAATATTTTAACTAAAGCTGGTATTTTTAAACCTACAGAAAGATGATCAATCAGCTTGTTAGATTCTCTCCTACACATATTTTGCCCTGAAAATCAGAAGAGGTGGTATTTAAATGTCAAATTATTCATGCAGTATTAAGGTTCTGGTTTAGAAATGCATGGTTGACAGAAAAGATTTGTAATACTGCATTTACCTATGCTTCACTCTAGCAATACATATGCTGAGTCTCTGTGCATAGTCGTTTAAGTTTGGTGCCTTGGTGCATGTATCCTTTGACAAGATTCATCATGGTTCCCATAGAAACTCTGCCTGTATTATCATCTGTAGAAGTACAGAAGTTAAAACTGTGTTCACAATAATACATACATAAGGTAATCAAGTCACAGCTGTTGTGGAAACCACCTTTTAGAGTCTGGCTTACATAATTTTTTTAAAATTCTGAGCTTTATTATATATAACAAATATGATTTCATTTTTAACAATCACCAAGAATGGACTGGTGCTCAGGAAATGCTGCACAGTCTAGAGGTGTAAATGTAATTATATTCTGAATGGTCAAAGGCTTGGTTAATTTTTCCCTAAGACAGATCAACACTCACATGAAAGGTAATTGATTAGCAGCTAAATGGCCATCCTTTCTGTGATGTGGGTCCCATAACCCATTTCCAGGTTTTGATTCCCTGTGAGAGCTCACAGGACTCAGCATACCCAGGTACTCATGTCTAAGATTTATTACAAAGGGGGGAATCAAAGCAAAATCTTCAAAGAGAAATCTGGAAGTCTTTCAAGACCTTCCCCAGTGGAGCCAGATGATACACTTAACTCCTCCAGCCACTGGTTGGAAATACGTGGGAAATGCTAGATAGTAGCGAGGCTCATTAGAGACAATGCCCACTGTTTTTACTGGAAACTATGCATGCATGCACTCTCTACCTAGACCATACCAACATCCAAGATTCCAAAAATGACAGCAGATATTCAGCATAAGCCATATTGTTTGTCAACAGTCTAGGCAGTGAGCCATCTTGTCATGAAAGAAAAGTTTCACATAGTGTAAGACACTGATACCATTCAAGTCTGCAGATACCTGCCAGAGGTCGTGTCTCAAGGAGTTCTTTCTACATGTGATGACCTCAGGCATGCTATGTTAACTCGTTTCTGTACATATTCTCTTTCCTTAATAACATACACATACTCAGATACACCTCTACATTTTTTTCTAAGATGCCATTGTTAATATTTTGGGGGAGATTTAAATGCTATTTTCTGTTTGGCCATGGCTGTAGTTAAAGAGGCTTAGAAGTACTCAGAAGTCATTTTCATAAAATCAAAGGCAGTTTTACTATTTATATAAACTGAGGGCCATTGGAAAACATTTTGCAGCAGTCATTTAAAATCCTCATTAACACCTGCTTTGAGACAGCTCTTCGGTGGTCGGATGAGCAAGTGATGACGGAATGGCTCTTTATTTTGTGGGAGGAGTGAGGAGCCGTGAAGTCTGTTCACCCACCACGGTTTCTGCCTAGCACAGAGAACAGATTAGAGAGCCATAGACGTGGCACCAGTATTTATAAATACTTTCAAATCTCCTAGCTCTTTCTTTTCATTTATAGTATCCAGTGTGATTAAGGTTGTCACAGGTCCTCTGAGGCAGTGTGGAACCTGGCACTATGTCTATAAAAGCCTAACGCTGGTTCCTAAAAAGTTGTTAGGCCCTTTGAAAAGCTGACGAATACATATGATAATTTTAGCTAAATAAAATCCTTTACTGCTACTGCAGATTTTTAGAACCTTTTATACCTAACTTAGGGAACTAATTTAAATTTATTCCAATATGCTATGTCCAGAAGTTAATAAATCACTGCTTGTTGGCTGCATTTAAACTCTTCTGAGTCATTTGAGCCTACTAAATTTGATATTAATGCATAAAAGATAATGTTACTATTTAAACAATCCGTTCCCCTGCCAGTAATTGCAGAATAGAGATAAAAATGTTCTCTTCTATCAGCCAAAAATCAACTTTATAATTTCTGTAATTAAGCTCAGCATATACAGCTTTGATTTGGAATTATTTTATTTCTAAAAGAAAAAAGAGTAAAATCAGTTTAGTGAATTTAAATCACGGATTCCATAACAACATGAACTGATTTGCTTTCTTGGATGTAACTTCCTCTTAAGTGTGTAGAAATTAATAGTCATTCCTGAAACTGAAATGTACAAGACTTTATATTATAATTGGTACTGAAAGCAGAACAAATATTCTGTCGAGCTTGCTCAATTCAGAGTGAGTTTCATAGTTTAACATATTACATAATGTAATTTGACAAAGTAGTTTTGGGTATCAACTATATTTACCATGCTGGCCTTGTAAAACAAGTCTATTAGTACCCATTTTCTCCCTCGCTCTATCAAATGTAAGCCTTCAAGACAGTTTTTATTCCATACGTTAACCAGTGGCACATGAGCCAAGAAGAAAGGAGAACTTCGATGTACTCCAGATGCCATTTCTGACAGGGACTGTCCTTCAGTAGTAGGGCAAAATAAACGGAGATTTTCTGTCCTCTGGGTTTCTTCATTGAATCAAAAATCCACCTTAGAATCACTATTCTAATAGGAAGGTTACAATGAAAACTGTATTCAATTAGTGTCTCCAGGATAGAAGGCATAAAAAATTGAAAGGCAGGTTCATTAGTTACATACTTTCTTTTATACCTGCCAAATGAAAAATATTCTCAGCATTTTAGAAATGAGGAAACAGATTCAGAAAGGTAAAAAGGATCACAGAGCATGTTTTTAACTGGTGTTAGAATCTAGGAATTCTTTCTACTAAAGAAATAACTTTGCTAGGTACACTGATAAATAATTTTAGCTACTCAGGGGGCTGAGGTGGGAGGGTCGCTTGATCCCAGAAGTCTGAGGCCAGCCTGGGCAACATAACAAGCCCCAGTCTCCTAAAAGAAATAAACAAATGAATAAATCAATTCTTAAAAAGAAATAGCTTGGTAGAATTTTTGAGACATCAAAGATAAATTTTATTTCATTTAACTCCTTCATTCCACATGTAGGTAAAGCAAGCATGACAATTGCCCAAAACCAAAAAGTTGCTTGTAGCAAAGCAAGAAATAGAATCTAGTTCAGTAGTTTGTTCATTATTCCTTACTTGGCTCCAGTTATTCTCTATAGTCTTTTTTACTCCTCCACTGCTGATCTTTCCTTCTCAGTCTCATTGGCTTGGCCCTTTTCTTCCATTCATAGTCTCAGCAGTCTTCTATCTTTATGTGCCAGCCAGCAATTTCCAGACTCATTTCTCCAGTTCATACCTTACTCCGTATTCCGTGCCCTATTGGAGATCTCCCCTGAGATATCTAATAAATTCACCACTCTCATCTGGGCCATGAGAGTGATTGTTTTTGAAAATGTTAAATCAAATCCTGTTACTTCTGTTGAAACCTTTCGGTGAGGGTCTCTTGGGTGGCTGCAGCCCAGTGTTGGAGTGCACACTTAGCTTGCACAAGATACTTGGTCCTAGGTTCAATTCCCAGCACCAAAAAAGAAAGATAATCGAGGGAGGGTGGGAAAGAGGCTGCCTGGCTTACAAGGATTTTCTGTCTTCTTCAGAATAAAAATTTTTAAATCTTACAACACTTTGTTTTGTGAGGAGTGATATAATGACATTTTTAAAGGCTCAATGGTTGCTGTTATTATTTATCTTCTTTCTCATTAGAGTGAAAATTCAATGAAGGGAGGAATCTTCATCTTAGTTTCATTATTAAATATATCCCAAGCACATCCGTTCTGGTTACATAGTAAATGTTCAACTAGTGTCTGCTGAATTTGAATTCATGCATGCATTAAACACTTACCCACTTGACATATTCTGCCAGATCCACGTGCTACATTAGCGCTTCCGTTCTGGTCTCTGTCATCATGAACTGGTTTCTGTCTTTAGCGTCTCACCCTAGAGACACCAACTCATTAGGTGTTCTGTGGATTCTAAACATCAGTGTTTGTTAAGTGATCTTAGACAACTCAGACGTATATACATCATTTTCCATGAGCTTGTTCTGTACCAGTACTTCCCTGTATCTACTGCACTGGAGCAGTGCATTTAATCTCAACTATATGTCGTTAGGAAACTCGGAAGTAACGTGGTCTCTGAAGGCTGGAAAAGAATTCTAAACAGGAAATAAAATTCAGGAAAACAGACCAAAGAAAGAACTCTGGAAGTGTGTACTGTGTGAGCACCTCTTTCATGTTGTACAAACACCTTTTCCATGTCAAATGATGCCAGGGTTCCAATAAATTTTTCTGTCAGAACTAATGGAAGAATAGGTTTAGATTGTCTTTCTCATTTCTATATTTGGCTGTTTATAACAGCTGCCACATTATTTGCTGTGGCAGAAAGCTCATAAATATAGACGCCAACAGCACTGTATTAAGTCATTTTCCCAGCAGTTCCACTAACCAAATCGGTGGCCTGCTGCAGTTCAAGTTCCTTATCTTTAAAATGAAGATTTTGAGTAAACTAAACCCATTCTAGCTGCAGTAGTCTACAGTTTTTATTTCACTTTCTAAAATTGTTATAATTGTTAGTAATGATAAAAAAATACTTTCTCAATATGGTTTTGAAGGGAAAATTAGTCACTCTTCCTATCGTAGAATTGGCTGGTGTCTCCAGGTTAATGTGCTACCAATAAGATCTTATATTAAACCATAATTTTGTTTAGGTAATTTATGCTGTCTTACTAGATTCAGTTTGATGACTTGACAGGGCTCTTTTTTTTTTTCTTTTTTGGTGCTGGGGATTGAACTTGGTACCTTGCGTTTTCAAGGCAGGCAGCGGCACCACTGGGCTAAGTCCCCGGCCCCTATGGCTCTTTAGAAAGTGCAGTCAACAAAGAAATTACATTTCAGGGGCCAGGGATTTAGCTCAGTGGTTCTGTCACCTGCCTAGCAAGCATAAGGACCCGAGTTCAATCCCCAATATCAAAAAAAGAAAGGGAAGACTCTTAGGATTCATATGAGAACAGAGTGTCATGAACTTTGTTTACAGGACATAGTTGTTAATTTAGCCAGGTGTGGTGGCTCACACCTGTAATCTCAGCACTTGGGAGGATTGCTGTGAGTTCAAGACCAGCCTTGGCTATATAGTGAGTTCCAGGTCAGTCTCAACTACATAGTGAGACTCTGTCTCAAAAACAAAACAAAACAAAACAAAACAAAAAAACAAGAAATTACTTTCAGAACAGTCCTAGAAAAATATTTTTACAATGCCTCTCATTATTTCTCCTCCAATATACATTAAGCAACAAGAAATTCCCACTATTACTATGTACCATTATGAGAGTGTGAGCTCTGTACCAGAATCTCTGGAGAAGAGGGTATGATGTAGCAGGGAGGAGGATATGTCTGTAATTTTAAAAGGTTGTCACATGAATCTATTGTCAACCACCCCCACCCCCATTTGTTTGAGAATCACTGTTCTGAAGACCCAGTAGCCTTGTATACACACACACACATAAAACTTCTTCCCTTTAACTGAGACCACCACTTTATTTACATGCATACCACATAAATGGCTACTTATTTATGTACCTCTATTTTTCATGTACTACATTATATAGTACCTGAATCCAAAAGATAATTTCTATTTAGTAAATTACTGTCTACAGTTTTGAACATCATGAAGCTTGGAGTAACTGGCACATTATCATTGAATAATTCATGCAAATTCAATTCACGTAAAGACAGATCTACCTCAAGTAAGTTATTTCTTTGGCATCTGAACAAAAGTTAGATATACCACAGGCAAAGTGTGAGTTAATATAACCACTGGGGAAAAAAATGATTTTTAAAGTAAACAGTGTGCCTTTTAAGAACTCCTTGTTCTCTAGTTTCTACTTCAACTAGGATGAGGGGAAAAATATTTTAAAATAAAAATGTCAGTCTTTTAGATAGCTCCTTATAATTACTATGTTCAGATTATGGAATCAGGGAACCAGCCTAGAGTAATTACAAGTACATAGTCTGGAGTCAGAATACCTGTTTGGAATAACAAGTCTACCACCTCTCTGTAATCTTGGGCAGATCATTTAATCATTAGAGGTCTTAATTACTCACCCACACCTCTGAAGAGGGCACAGTGATCCTACCTGATCATCAGAAATCTGAATTTTTCGTTATCTTGTCTCCTAGTATTCCAGTCATTTTAACAGTTACATAATAGCAGAATTATGCTTAAAAGCTATCTCCTGATAAATGAAAAAATAGTTTCCTATGCCGTGAAAGGCAGTGTGGGTTTTTACAAACATTTTTAGACTTCCTTTTTTGATCTCTTTTCAAAATGTATATACTAGTGCTTGTTCTATTTATATCACATGTTTAAAGCTGTACATATCTGAGGCAGAGGCTGAAAAAGTGAGATCCAAGGGGATCTCTCTTGAAGATTCAGGAACCTTCTGATGTTGGAAAAGTTCTAAATGCATGCACATCTAGTTGTGTCCTTAAAGGGAGAGGAGTTCATGATCAAAATAAGGCCTTTTTTTATTTCATTCACCCAAATAATCTGCATTCTTTAAGATTTTGATGGGGACTTTTATTGCAACATGTAGTTATATTTGAAGGTCTGAAGGACGTCACTAAATATTTGTGTCTACATAATAGCTTTTCACCCTAACAAAAAATCAAAACGGGAATGTCATGAGTCCTGAGTGTGGGTTTTAGCACATACTCTGTTTCTGCAGGTCCGATTCCCATCTCACTTCAGTTCAGATCTCAAAGACCTTCTAAGGAACCTGCTCCAGGTGGATTTGACCAAGCGATTTGGAAATCTAAAGAATGGTGTGAGTGATATAAAAACTCACAAGTGGTTTGCCACAACGGATTGGATTGCTATTTACCAGAGGAAGGTGAGGCTCTCCTTTCAATTTAAAGGTTTTTAAAAGTTAAGAGTTTAAATTATATTAATAGAAGCATTTTCAACTTAGCAGAATTATTTGATGTTTTATCTTTTAAGTTAATCCTATACAAAAACTAAAATACCTCTTAGCGCACAACTTAAAAATGATTTTTTTTCTTAGATAAAAGAAAAATACTTTTTTCTATTTTGATCATTAGTCTTAAATGCTTTCCTTGTTAATATTTTTCAACCCACATCCCTCACTCTTCACAATGTTGTGGAAATTATATATTAGATAATATCCTTAGGATTTGCATCTCAAAACCGATTTGAAGTTGCATAAGAAGACAATATATAAATAAGTACTGAGCTGGGGATTTAGCTCAGTGTTCCACTGCCTGCCTTGCAAGCATAAGGTTCCGAGTTCGATCCCTAGTACCAAAAAAAAAAAAAGTTACAAACAAGTACAGTCACCCATCCAGAAATGGCATGCAGGCACTCAGCCAGATATAACATTTTATTCATTTAATTTGCTTTCTGGAGACATTTTTCAGTCTTTATTTCAACCTCAGTTGGTGTTTCTCAGGCTTCCAAATTGTTTATGTAATGTCTCCCAAAACAACAGCTTTTTCACATATTGTGCCCTTGAAAAAGTTTTCTCCTTTCCTCTGAATGGTTTTTCCCATTTGTGCATCTTTCATATTCTTATCAATCCTTTAAGAGTTCACTTAAATGTTACCTCATTAAAGTGATATTTTTCTCAGAAAGGTCATATTTCATATGCTCACTAGTGTTTTAACGTACTTCATTGAGAACAGGGATCTTCCTTGTTTTTATATTCCTGTCATTAAATACCACTAAATATTTGCTGAATTATTTATTGAATATTCATCTTTTTTCATATATAACTTTCCTTTATTCATTTGAAAATAATTTGAGGATAAATAGTGGATATAGGACTTCTGATTATATGGCTTCTTTGGAATATCTAAGCAAATTGTCTGAAACTGCTACATGTTGTCTTTAGCAATTATTTATTCACACATTTCTGCACATAGATTTTGAATGTCTGAGTTTATGGTAAGTATTCTGCAAGGTCCTGCAAATACAGTGTTGAACAGAATCAACCTTAATTCCTGTCTGTATGAAGTTTATAGTTTCAGGGGGCAGGGAGCTTATTCATATGTTCATCTAAGTTCAAAGCAAAAAGAGAAAGAATAATTCTGAAGTTTTTGACATGTTTTGCTTGTTTAAGAGATTTTGAAATTCAGGCTATAAATATAAAGCCAAGTTAATTTCTAGCATTAACCATAATAAAGAGGACAACTTGTAGTTGAAAAGTAGTATAGTTAAAAAAATAACTAGTTTTCTTTTAATTACCTACCTACATTACCCATGTAATAGCTATGTTGATTGTAGCATGTTAAGTTAATAAGTTATCACTTTACTTTTGTAATAAATTTAAGAAAAGATTTTACTGTGCTGAATTATGTTTCCGTCTCCCTTTGATACTTAAATGTGAATAAAAATAACTTCCATGAATAGTGCTTTCATCTTGAGTTTATTTTTTTCTTTGTTTTTTGAAATAAAGCCAAAACTTCTCCTGTTTTAGAGAATTGTGTTTTAGATTGCTTTGGAGCCACATGAGTGAGTTTCCTGAAGGGGAAAATTTTTTGATTGTTCTAATTAAATATTAAAAGCAGTTTCTCTAATTTATAATTTTAAAAACATTATAAAAATAAAGCAGTAAAAGAATTTAAAAATGCAACAAATAAAAAATATAGTAAGTGGATGCATTATATATATTCAAGAATAAGGTCCATGGTGATTTAAAAGATATTTTAGATCTCATAAAAAATCATTTCATATTTTTTCTCTATTTGCTATCACCAATGCAGTACTTTATGATTAATAAAGGCAATTCTTCTTGCCAGGCGTGGTGGTGCACACCTGTAATCCCAGTCCTTGGGAGGCTAAGGCAGGATGGTCACCACAAGTTTGAGGCCTAAACTATATGTGAGACCCTGTCTCAAAAATGCAAAACCAAACCAAACAAAAGAAAAAAAATTCTCAGTCACTTCTAATTTTAGATGTTGGAATAATTCTGTGAAGTAGGTAGCACCATTTCCCCACTTTATTGATAAGAAAATCACCCCAGATAGCTTGATCAATTTAAATGCTGAGTAACACCAGGTTCTTAGCATTCCCAATCCCAGAATCATATTATCCCTGTAACATCTTTTTTTGACACAGTTATTAAAATGAAGCCCCAAACCCACACGTTGTTTAGTGAGATTCTATAGATGTTGCATGTCATCTGCTTAACTTTTATCCTTTGAGCATTCATGAGAGGAGGAAGACTAAGGCAGCAAAGAACATGAACTCTGGGTTTAGGTAGACACGGATCTGAATCCCAGGTCAACCAATCATTATTCTGTCATCCTGAATAAATTATTTGACTTCTACAAAACATCGTTTTCATCATACTTAAAATTTGGATTAAGATACAGAATACAGAAGGCAAAATAGTTTCAGCAGAAAGATTAGATTGGCCCAGGCCCCATTTTTCTTTCTGGTTGAGATATGTTTTATATAGTTATAATCAGGTGATTTGAAATCATCATAAACCCATTATCCAGGTAGGATGGCTATTGATATTTGACATGTATTATTCATTCTTCTGTGTTCCTCATCAGTACAGTCCTTTGCATGACTTAGTAAACCACCTAAGACCTACTTTCTCCAAACCTATACTTTCCCTCCTTTTTATCACAATTAGTACTTACTACAAAATTCCACTCAGGTGACTTCACTGCTATATTACAAAAGCATTTTTAACTACTTACCAGTCCAATTATTTAGAAACAGGATGACAAAAAATTGCATTTTTTATTAATTCTTCTAAGATAATATAACTGAAAATATAAAAAATGTTATCAAATGTATTTAGTGCAAGAATCAACTGGGTGAAATGTCACCTGCCCGTGGGGTGCTCGGGATGATATAAACAAAACCCGCTCCCCAGGCAATGCTCGGAGTGAACCTTGGGGTGGAGCAGATGACTTAACCAGCTAAGTTTGCTTCTTTAACTGGTATTTTATTTCAGTTGAAATTTGACTTCCTAGTTGGTATGGAATAATTAGCTAATTGCCCCCTTAGCACTTACTGAATAATCCTGATTTGGCCCCTTTTTAATAACAAATACTTTGCTCTACTTCTGAACTTTATTATTTTGTGACTTATCTTTGTTAATTCTTGTACCCTATAACTTTACAATGCACTTTAATATAATCTGGGTCTAATTCCTCTATCCTGGTTCCAAATTTTCTGTTTTCTTGCCCTGTGAACATTATTTTAGAGGCAACTTTATTAATGTATTTAGAAATATAAATAAATATTTCCTAGAGAGCATCCTTATCCCCTACATTTCTCTTTTTTAAAATTAGACTTGCCAGTGGCTTATCTACTGTCTGAACTTTCTAAAGGTATATGTAGTATTTGAGGATCTCATGTGTTATTACAGTAAAGCTGCATATTAATTAGAAGAAAACCTGAATCTTGAAAATGTACCATTATTTACTCAAATGTTTTCTGGCATTGAGTAAAGTTATTCCCTTCTCACATACAGTTCTATTTTATTTATATCTTAAAATTATTTCTTAAATTTATGTTTTTGTTGCTACTGTGAATGTGTTCACTTTCCTATTTTAGCAAGGTATGGGGAAAACATATTTTCTGTATTTGCATCATAATTTGCCACCTTACTAAATTCTGTTGTTGCTTTCCATAGGTTTTTTTTTTATGATTAGTTTGGATTTTTATTGATAGTCACAGGGACAGGGATTTCATTTTGCCTGTCACTCTTCCACAATTTACATCTCTTATTTTTAAAAAGTAGTGTATTTAGCTCTCTTGTTTTGTTTCACTGTAGAATAGAAAGGCCTTTCATGTTTTACCACCAAAATGAAGTTGTCCATTTGGCTAAGGTAGGTATTCTTTAACCAGATTTAGGAAATCACCCTGATTCCTAGAACATCTTCTTTGACATATCATTGTGATGAATTATACTGGGCAAATATCTTTATGTCTCTGGAATCAACACAATGTAATTATGGTATGTTTTTAATATTTGTCCAGAATCAATTTGTGAACTTTTAATATAGCATTTTTACTTCTATAGATACACATTTCATTGATTGACAGTTTTTGTTTTTCTGGAAGTACAGATTATGTGGGATTCATAAAACAAAACAGGAAATTTTCCATATTTTTTATTCAGAAAAATTCCAGAATGTAAAATTATAATTATTCCTTATAAATTTTTAGATAAGGACTATGGACTCCTCTTGAGTCAGTTTTAGAAATTTATATTTTCTATAAAATCGTTCATATTCATTTGCAACTATTACTGCTTATATTATCTTTATTGTTATATCTATTGTTAATTTATATTATGTATATTTTTAGATGTTTGTAGCTTTTAAATTTTATTAGTATTTTAAAGATTTGTGGTATATTTGAATCTTTTCATATTTATAAATAAAAATGTCTGCTAATATTCTGCATTTACATACAGTCTCATCATCTATCCATGCCATGTACTGAATTTTTAATAATTATTCCGATAATGGGATAGGACTGAACTGCTGCCATCATGTAGAGTTCATATATTTTCAAAGGGGCTTGAGTTACTGTTAACTTATTCAAAAGTAGTAGACTATAGGAAACTTTACATTGTAGTATTAAGCAAATTGATTGATAACCAGATATCGCTATCAGTGAAACTAATAGGATCTCAGGACAATGTACAAATAGAAATAATCTAACACTTTAATATAGGTTTTTATATCTGTGGATTATAACTACACACAAAAGTCCAAAAAAATAGTAAATTATATAATTTTCATGATCTTATTTATCTGACCTAGTGTTTATGAACAATGAAACAGTCTTAATGTAATCTAACATAAAAAGAAAAAAAAATACAGGGCAGTGAAGTAACCTGGACAATTTAAACTATACCTGTATGGTTGCCCCATAAGTGTGTTTCTGAATGCTGGTTGGCTAGAAATAAAGCAACTGCTTAGCTTGTTTCTCTGTACAGAGTGAAGCAATAATTCCCGCGGCAGGGTGCAGAAGACACTGGCTGGCACATAAAGATTGTATTAGAATTTCCATTCCTACTTAATTTCCACCTTAGTCTTTAAATGTCTTATTTATGTGGGAATCATATTGGCATAATTATGCATATAAATTATACACATACAAGTGATATATAGTAAAGAACATTTTGCTGAAAAATACATACATTAAAAAGCTTTTGAGATCTCTGGTGTAGGTAGCAGCAGAAAGATCTCTGGATGAGAACTGGAGACCAGTGAATTTGAGACTTGCTTTAGCTACTTTTTAGTCATGTAAATTTGGTCAACTCTGTTTCATAACCTGTCAAATGGAAATGAAAATATCTGTTCTGCCTTCCTCAAAGGAGTTGTATTAAGGAAAAACTGAAACAACTGCATGTAATTGCTTATAAATTCTGTAAGTGCTGTGCAAATTGCAGCATTTTTTTCTGATTTTGCTCATACATTTAACACACCATGAAATCTTCATAGAATACTGTATCCTAAAGAGTTGAAAGGCATTTACCTTTAGTATCAAAAGAGACAAATCTTTAGGATTTGACAATTCTGTAATTCAAAAAGAAGTATGTTTCTTCCTAACTTCCCAAAAAGTTTTGATGGCCAGATATTTTAAACACAGCAACTTGGGAATTTCTAAAGGAATTAGAAAGACTGGGGATACAGCTGGTGGAGCAGTTTGCTAGAATTTGGGAGGCTCTGGGTTCAATCCCCACTACCGAGACATCACCATCGACAAAGTGGAAGTAGGTTACAAGTAAGTCTAAGGTGTCTCTGTTAAGCTCAGGAAAAAAGGAATTTTAAAGGGGGATGAAGCCTTTGGAAATAAGAAACTGATTTAAAAAAAAAAAAAAAAGGAGAGTCCTGTGACCTAAGGAGCTAGTATTTTGATAACAAGAGTTTATTTTCCTAGAAATGTCTTAAGTATCATGTTGATGTATACTTTTCCTGGAATTAATATGTTGAGATTTTTAGAAGTAAACACTGTTTTCTGCTAATGGTATTATATTGTAGGGAGTTAATGGCACTTAAAGATGCCATCATGTCAGAATAGTAGGGATTTATTTTCCTTTGTGTTTGAACATTCTTAGGAATTTCTTTTTTCCTCTTCTTTTTCTCAATTATAGGTTGAAGCTCCATTCATACCAAAGTTCAGAGGCTCTGGAGATACCAGCAACTTTGACGACTATGAAGAAGAAGATATTCGTGTCTCTATAAACGAAAAATGTTCAAAAGAATTCAGTGATTTTTAGAGAGATGGCAGCCAAGCTCGCACTCAGTCTTTGCACTCTGTTGAGATACAAGGTGGAGCCGAGACCACCCTTGTTGAAGCAGTTACCTAGTTCCTTCATTCCAGCAACTGAGTGAGGTCTTTATCGCTGTCCTTGTGTGTGCACACTGCATCCACCTCTGTAACAAGGCACTGCTGAGCAAGCACTGTCTGTGCCATGACACAGTATAGACCACTTTCCTGCTTTGGGGTTGTCTTTCTCCCCATTTCTACGTCCATTTCTTCCTTTTCGTTAGTTTTTTTTCCCCCTCTCTATAAGTGCTCCATTTTATTTTGTTGGTGTTTTAGATGGGCAGTGTCAATGGCTATGTAATATGTGAAAGGAAGGGTAAATGTTGCTTTTAGTAGTTTTTGCCAGTATTTTTGTTGGCCAATGGCTTGAAGATAAACTTCCTAGTAATCATTTATACTTTGAGCAGCTCTGACTCGGTTTTGCAAAAAAAACAAAAACAAAAACAAAAAACCTTGATAATTTTTGAAGGTAAAATGTCTTATCTACAAAGAAATTTACACAAATTAGGACAATAACTTGCCTGGAATTCACTGTTCTGGCAATAAATGCAGAATGGCTAGACCCAGCAATTTGGATTTCCTACAGACCAAAAGTTCTATTTTCCTTTGTCTCTTTTTATATTATCCTTCCCTAGCGTTAACTGAATGACCAGCCTCCACAATGTGACTCATGAGTCTTATCCCACGAAACCTAATAACAGAGCACCATCCAGACTTTCTCTCTCAGAACCAGCACTTCTGTAGGTATTAGAGGAGGGTTCTAAGATTTCTAAACCTTAACTCTTCCATCAGAGTTTTAGCCAGTATTTTAATAGAACAAGCTTATTAAAAGTGACAAATTTTAAAGTTTCTCATATCGTCCTCATTGTAAACTTTTTAAGGGAGAAGAAGCAAACTAAAATGAACATTCATTTGGATGCATACTTCGCCAAGTCAAACAAATGGCTGGATTCTTGCAAGTAATATAGAGGTACTCTTATATAAGTGAGGCTTTTTGATTGTTCTGCTTTGTAACAGTGAGAACAAAAGAAGTTGCATGGTCTTATTATTCTGGTGTACTATATTTATAAATCTAAGGGAGGGGCACTGTTGCAACTTCTAGTTTCATCCCATCCCTCAGCAATGAGGAAAAGGGACAAAGTTTATAAAACTGCCACATTTGTATTTTAATTTTGAGGTGTGATATTTTTAGATATGTCATAATTTCTAACCTTTTTTTCTCTCAGTAAACAGAATGTATGATCATGCAGATACAATTTTAGTATTTGAGTTTAGTTATTTTTTTATACTTTTTTGCCAACTGACTTTAATAACATTGCTGTCACGTGGAAATTTCAAGCACTTTTGCACATTTAGTTCAGGGTTTGTTGAGAATCCATAGCTTATGTCAATTTTTCTTACTTTTTTTGATTTTTGTTTTTAATTTTCCCCATCAGGTTTTCTCCTTCTGTCTCAGCGACCTACCTTAAAACAACACACCAAAATAATTTCAAATAAACTGCATTCATGTTTATGCTCAATTTACATGCACATGTGATGAATTTTTTTCATCAAACTGATCTTAATGTTTTGTTACCATTCTACTTACTTTCTTTCTGGTGCAGGTAGGTCACTGACACTACTGCTTTTTGTTTGTCTCACCCCCTTATAAAACCTTTGAAGACATTAGAAAATACTGTCTGAAATGTTCACCGATCTGTGTGTCTTTTGGTTGTCCAGTGTTTCTGCATAGTAATGTCATACTAAGCTTGATACTGACTTTAGTTGGTTCCCTTATGTTTAATATGTGCAAGAGAAATCTGAAGTACTCAAATAGCAAGTTGTATGTAAAAAGGATTTATCATCATGTTAATAAATTTAAAATGTCATTTGTATAAAATATTTTAATTTTGTGTATTTCATTTAAACCCAAGAACATGCTGATCATTGTATTCTATATGTATGCTACAAAATCTATGGTAGCTTTATTGTATATTATTGTAAAATTATTTCAGTAAATCATGGGGATGACAATTTGATTATTACAATGTAGTTTTCAGTAACTAAAAAGATTTCTATAAATTCTAAAAATATTTTTTTCTATGAAATTATAAGTGCCCAACTACAGAATCTACCCAGGTAGAAACCCCTAAGCATACATTGGTTTTTGAGGGCTATTCAGCCATTTTACTCTCTATTTTAAGACATGGACAAACTGTCAGATATGTTACTGGAGTCCATTTCTGACCAAGCAAAAAATTAGAATATTTCAAAAGCTTATGAAGTTCTCAATTTTAGCCACAATGTAGCCAAAAGCAAGGTAAAAACTTGAATAAGAAATAAGTGGCAAAACAGTATTTAACTTCAAATTACATCATCTGATCCTGAAGAAATTATGTTTTTGCCTAGCAAATAATTAAAAGATGGCATTGTGTAGAGTAGAGCCCCAGGCTGAAAGTCAAGACGTCTTAATTTCAGGCCAGGAAAATTCAGCATGACCTTGACCTCAGTCCTCTTATCTGTAGGGCAGAAGCATTGGATTGGGCATTTTTGAAAGTCTCCTTCTAATTTGAACAAGTTTTGACAAGATTCTCTTTTTATCTGCTATTTTAAAGGGATATCATGCTTTGAAGTCTCAGTAAGGTGATATATTTTGGGGCATCTTTCTTCTTACTTCTGACAGTGTTGTACAGTTCTTTGAATTTTATGAGAACCTTGTGTCTGACTTGATTCTTTACTCATTTGCTCATGCTAAATACATGGTTGATACCAAGCTGCCAGCCTACCAAAAATAATACTGTGGCTTCTGAGTATTGCTGTCTTGTTCTTGGTATTTTCTTGTACTGACCGGCCACTGGCCTGATAATACTCATTGTAAGCCTGAAAAAAATTATTTTTCTTTCCCACTGATTGTTTTTTCTGCTTGTTGTAAGAATCAAATGAAATAATGTATGTGAAAGCACCTTGTAAACTGTAAGCTATCAATGTAAAGTGTAAAGGTGTGTTGTTATTTCATTAATTACTTCTTTATTTAGAATGAAATTTCCTATGCACTATTATAGCTAGGAAATGCTGAAAACAGTTGTGTTTTTTAATTAATCAATAACTGCAAAATTAAAGTATCTTCAAAGGATAAGACTACTGGGTCTTGATTTTTATTTAATAACTTATCTCCTGATTTCACTTCCTGCTGTAAGTATAGCTCAGTGATGGCAAATATGAAAGAGCTTTAAAGGATTTGAGCAGCTTGCTATGGTTTATGAGCCATAGGTTTGCCAACACTGGTATAGATACTTAGATTCTTAACTCTTGCGCATTTTGGTTGATGCTTTGGTCATAGGAGCAAAACCACAGAAGGAGGAGTGTCCGCCAGTCTTCTCACACATGATCCTTACTAAGAAACTGCTAGGTTTACCCCAGAGGTTTAAAACAGTCTTTCTACTTTCTCACTTTTCATATTGGTCCAAATTAATCCTACAACAGTGTTGCACACTGTCATGTTTATGAGGTTGATTCTGCAAGAGGTCTCATCCTCAGGCTGTAACAGAGGTAGGAATTTATTCTGTTTTCTTCAAGAGATCTTTAGAGCTTCACATCTTACCCAGTTTAATCATGCATTTCTGTAGTTGTCCTTTACCTCAAGAAAGAACCCTTTTAGATAATTACTTTAGTAGCTTATCATTTTGTTTCATTGTTATTGCAACCATTTGTAAATATTGATGCATTCTATAATGTGTTTACTGTTTTTATCCCAATATTTGCTTTATTTCATCATTATCATTAATGTCAATTCCTAATTAATGTAAGTAATTTTCTCATCTACTTATAAAACTACAAAAATCTGTCTTTACCACAGAACTGTCATTTGAAATTTGGTTAACTTTAAGTTTTTCTCCTATGCAAAAATATTTAATGTGAAATTAAATATTTGTTTTCATTTCAGCTTTTCTGAAGATTTTCTGTATGTTTAATTAATAGCCTTTGTGCCCATGGTTAAAGATGGAGTTGCAGATTTTGTTAGGAACAGAATTCATATGTTGAAATCCTGATCCCCAGTACCTCATAAGGTACTTATGTTTGGAGATGAGGCCTTTATAGAGGTAATTAAAGTAAAGTCATATGAGTGGCCCTAATCCAGTGAGTATTGTCCTTACAAGAAGAGACTGTGATAAGAGTACACAGACAGAAGGATGACCACCAGATGATGACATATGGACAAGATGTCCCTCTACACACCAAAGAGGGAGGCCTCAGAAGAAGCCATCTCTGCTAACTTTTCTTGGATTTCTGCCTCCAGAACTGTAAGAAAAGTAAATTCTGTGGTTTAAAGCCTAAACTTTGGGTCATCCATTCTTAAACTGTCACACCTACTGAACTATATACTCCCATGTTGGAAAGACTTGCATTGATCTCCTTCAAATATTTTTTACTCAGCCAAAACTGAATTAGTTTGCCATAGGCAAAAAAAAAAAAAAAAAATTTAAGAAAAGAGAAAAAAAAGAAAATGTATCAGTGTGGTTACATGTCTCATTGCACCTGCTGTCTTGTTTCTTCTTTCTGTGAGAGTCCAAGGAGGAGATCACGAACAGTAGCTTTTAAGATACTGAGAGTGAGAAAGAGCACAGGTGGCTCAAGCCATTAGCTTACCCTTGGCATTGGACTTATCAGTGTAGTGAAAATACAACATAAAACTGAGAGCAACACAGTCATTGAGTTACAGTCTCCCACCTGTTCATATGAAGAAATAACCAGAAGGAAAGTGGGAATGGTAATGAAGAGTTGACAAGGAATCCTATAGAGTCATAATTTCCTGACTTTCCAGGGGTTAGTAATAGTCACAGTAAGTAATTAATTTAGTAATTTTCTATTGCTGCTCTAACAAGTCTCTACAAACTAAATTATTTAAACCAACACAGTCTTATTATTTTACAGCTCTGGAGGTCAAACATACACAGGAATCTCATTGGGTTAGAATTGGGGTGTCAGCAGGGCTCTATTTTTTTCTTAAGGCTAGCAAAGAATCTATTTTGTGGCTTGTTCCAGCTTCTAGATACCACCTACTTCCCTTGACTTGTGACACTATTTCTTTTTCTTCCAGCAACATTAGGCCAGGTCCTTATAAGGTATCATCATACATACACCAGTTTCTTCTATTAATAAATTGAAATACCCTAAAATGGTTTCTCTTTTTCCTACTGAGATTAATGTTCCCATTATCCTCTTTCCTATTTCATGTTGTACTAAATGATCCTAGAAATCACTATAAGAGGAGAAACTACAATGGTAAAATAAAGGTCAGTCCAGACAAAATTCAGAGTTTTCTATCAAAAGATTCTCATTAATGAACTTTTAAAACTGTTATCTAAAAGAGAAAAGAAAATAGTCTCAGGAAGAAAAAAAAAAGAAGATTGTCATTAATGA